AGAGAGGGACTCCTCAGGGTGCCGTCAGCCAGGCAGTGTCGGCTGGCGACCCCCAGGGGGAGGGCCTTCCTGTGGCAGCACCTGCCCTCTGGAACGATTTGCCCCCGGAGATACGCATGATACCAGATCTCCGGGCTTTTCGCCGTGCCCTAAAAACTTTTCTTTTCCATCAGACAGGGCTGGTGTAACCCCCCCACCCACCCTTTGAGATGTTAGATTTTTAATTGTCTATGGGTTTTAGTTGGGATGTTTTAAATTTTGGGCCAAAGTTGTATAATTCTTTTAACTGATTTTAAATTTTGTATTGGAATGTTTTTTATTTTTGGCTGTGCACCGCCCTGAGTCCAGGAGGAGAAGGGCGGTATACAAATTTAATTATATATATATACAAACACAAACACACACACACACACACACACACACGCACACACACATATATATGTATGTATATTAAAAACCACATACAAACAAAACAAATATTTGCAGATGAGGACGGCAGGACCCTGATGATTGAGATCAAAACAGAAACAAAAACCATACTATTAGTGTCACTCTATAGGCCGAATGGAAGCCAAACTGATTATTTCAAAAAAATACATAATAAAGTCAAAGAATTGGACTAGGAAAATATATGTCTCATTGGAGATTACAATGCAAAGACTATGAAAAAAAAATAAATCCAGGAAAAAAACACTACCGGATACATTTCACGATATGGTACAAGAATTCCAACCACAAGACGCTTGGAGGGAAATTAATCAAAATAAAAAACAATTTACCTTTTATTCAAATCCGCATCAATCATGGTCTAGAATCGAAATGGCCTGGATGACACCAGAGCTCAAATTAGATATCAAACAAATAGAAATTGCAACAAATACATGGGCAGATCATAGTCTGATTGTAATTACTTGGAAAGGTCATCGAACACAGAGAAGATGGATGATGGATAAAGATATCATAAAAGACAAACAATACGTGGAAATGATCCAAAGAGAATTGAAAATATTTTTCCAAATTAATGTAAAAGAACATACCAGTCTGCAAAATTTATGGGACGCAACCAAAGCTTATATAAGAGGCTTAACAATCGCTTACATAGCCAAAAAAAATAAAGACAAACAACAAACAAAAGACCACCTATTGACCCAACTCCAACAGTACGAATCAGAATTATGGGAAGAGCCACACAATAAAGAAATTAAAGAAAAAATTAATCTTACAAGACACAAAATAAACTTAATGAGAACAACGAAGATAGCAAGGAAAATTAAAATGGCCAAACAAAACCATTTCGAGCACGCAAATAAAACTGGTCGGTGGCTGGCCTACAAACTGAGAAAAGAAAAAGAGAAGAAAATGATACAGCAATTAAAGAACGAAGATGGACAAATATACCATAATAATCAAGACAAAAAACGAATTGTAAAGGACTTCTTCCAAAACCTATATGCAAAAGAAGAAATTCGAGAGGAAGACATCAGGCAATATTTAAATAAAATAAATATTCAGGAATTAAAAGAAAACCATCCCGAATCATTGAACAGACCGTTTTCCATGTCAGAATTAGTAGAAGCAAGGAAGAAACAAAAAAACAACAAAACACCTGGACCAGATGGCATACCATCCGAATTTTATAAAACATTCCAGCAATCACTAGATGATATTCTAATACAGGTATTTAATGATGCATTACTGGAAGCTCAAACACAACAATCTTGGAGTGAAACAATAATTACATTAATACCAAAACAGGATTCAGACCCGGTTGAAATTAAGAATTATAGACCAATATCTCTTCTTAATGTGGACTACAAATTATTTACATCTATTACAACACAGAGACTGAAAAATTTCATCAATCATTATATACATCCAGACCAAAATGGCTTCATCCCCAGACGACAAATTAAAAATAATACAAGGACAATTATCGACACTCTTGAATATTATGAACAACGACCAGATAAGCAATTAACATTAATTTTCCTGGACACACAAAAAGCATTCGATAATCTTAATTGGATATTCTTAATAACACAATTGGAAATGATGAAATTCGGAGAAAGATTTCTAAACATGATTAAAAGGATATACAATACCGAAACAGCTAAAATATTGATTAATGGAGAGACAACAGAACAATTTGATATAAAGAAAGGAGTGAGGCAAGGATGCCCCCTATCCCCCATATTGTTTATACTAACACTGGAAATACTATTGAAAGAAATTAGGGAAGATAAAGAAATAACAGGATTAAAGATAATGAACCAGGAATACAAACTGCAAGCATTTGCGGATGACATAGTACTCATCCTAGAAAACCACTGCAATCAGGACCTAAATTACTGACAAAAATAGAACAATATGGGGAAGTAGCAGGCCTGAAAATCAACAAACAAAAACCGAAAATGTTAACTAAGAACCTTACCACAAACCAAGAGGAAGAATTGGAAAATATACTAGGAATACAAGTAGCAAAGAAAGTGAAATATCTAGGGATCTTGCTCACTAATAGAATATCAACTCTCAAGGAAGATAATTACAATAAATTGGCCAAATAAATAGAAAAAGACTTAGAATTTTGGAGTAAATTACAGCTATCATTCCTAGGTAAAGTTACTCCATCAAAATGAATATCCTCCCAAGGATGCTGTATCTATTTCAGGTGATACCAGTAAACCCAGGAAAATCCTACTTCAAAGATTTGGATAAGATGATATCAAAGTATATTTGGCAGGGGAAGAACGCACGAGTTAAACTACAGGACAAACGAGAAAGAGGAGGAATGGGACTCCCGGATTGGCAAACCTACCACAAAGCACCATCATTAACATGGATCAAAGAGTGGATTGAACTAAAAAACAAACGCTTATTAACATTAGAAGGCTTTGATATGACAAAAGGATGGCACGCATATCTATGGGAAGAGAAACCTAAAAAACATGAACAATTCCGAAGGCATATTGTAAGAGACACATTACTAAAGATTTGGACTGGAATTAGGAAAAATCATTATGATAGAATCCCACGGTGGATTTCAACACTGGAAGCACAAATATATCCAAATACAATGGACAAAAATAAAATGAAAACGTATCAAGAACTCTTAAACGATGAAGGGAAATTAAAAACCAGAGAAGAATTAAAAGAACAGGGTGTGGAAATTGACTGGTGGCCATACCTGCAATTAAAATCCAGATACAAAATGGACATGGAGAAGTATGGGATTCAAAAAGAATCAAATCAATTGGATAAAATACTATTGGGCCCAAAGAGAAATTAATAACCAAAATTTACAATTTTTTACTTGCATACAAATTAGAGGAAGAAATAGTAAAAGAGAATATGATTACTTGGGTGAAGAACTTTGGGTACAGTATTGAATTAACCAAATGGGAAAAACTATGGAAAGTCAACAGTAAATTGACAGATCAGTATCATATAAAGAAAATGCCTACAAGATGTTTCATAGATGGCATCTTCCCCATGCCCAGATTTCAAAAATGTTTCCCAACACTTCTCCACTCTGCTGGAAATGTAAAAATCAAAAAGGGACATACTACCACATGTGGTGGTTATGCCCAAAAGCAAAACAATTTTGGAATAAAATCAAAACCCAATTGGAAGAAATAACAGCACAAAAAATACCATTAAGACCGGAAACATATTTATTAGGTATATTCACAAACAACTATGAAAAAGAAACAATATATTTAATTACACATATTTTGACCGCAGCGAGAATCATTTTTGCACAAAACTGGAAATCAGAAGAAATCCCAACTCAAGATAAAATAATATCGAAAGTAATGGAACGTGCCGAGATGGACAAACTCACTAAAGAAATTCAAAGGAAGAATCTGAATACTACCTGGTTTGGCATAAGTGATATCAATGTCTGGAGAAAAGGAAAACCAAATAAAAGATTATCCTAAAAGATTAGAACCAATTTGCGTACCAAATGAGACATATTAGAGTTAAAACAGAACTTTAAAAAATATTGTTATATAAGGTGAAATGTGGATATAGATATTGAGGAACGTAATATACCGATGTACGATCTTAAGAAATAAGTCATTACGTTTAAATGTTATATATATTGTGTATTGTTTTATTTGTATTTTGTCTTTTTCTGTGTGTATGTTTATAAAATTAATACAATAATAAAAAAAAATGAAACTTGATTTTAAAGTTTTTGAAAAATATTACTTTTTCAATTAAACAGCTAAAGCGTGCTTGGAATACTGATTTTGGAAAGTTAACAATTAAGGATTTAGATGGACTTGGATGGGAAATTATCATTGTTTGGATTTTCTTCAATCAAAATAAGAAAATGGGATTTTGAAAGTTGAACACTAGAGGAAGCTAGAGGATAACAAGAAGTATAATTAAATAAATGAAATAAAATATTGTAACAGTGAGTTCTCTGCGGGAAATTTATGAAAAAGGGTCTTTGAAACTTTTAGAAATGATGGGTAGTTGGATGCTGATTAAAGTTTTAGAAGATTTTTTTAAAGAAAGGACAAGAAAGATGACAAGAAAACTAGCTCTGAGCTTCTATTTGAAGAGATTAAGAATTAAGATAGTTAAAAGTATGGAGCAGGAATATAGGGCTGGCTTATTTGATCAAGGTTAAGATAGATAATTAATCATATCTGATATCCTTTATTGGATTTTTGCTGATAAGAAATAAATGATGAGGATTTTAGATTTTGTTTTTAGTTAAAAGATAAGATTTGGGGTGAACAGAGTATTTGGTGTAATTTAAAAGATAGCAATAAATTACACTGTTTAATTTGTACTTGAGTTAAAAGGGTACGGTACTTTTTTGTTTTCTTTTTCACACTATTTTTTTTCCTTTTCTAATTCTTATTTTTTTGTATTTTCTTATATTTTGTATTTTCAGTAGTTTTTATTCCTTTTATTTGTAATATTTAATAAAATTGTTTTAAAAGTAAATAAATTTATTTGGAAAAAGAAAAAGCACAAGGACCATATGCAAAATCATACAGATTCAAGGTTTATTTCACTGAGAAACACAAAATCCCTTTGCATAAGAATCTTTGCCATTTTAAAAACTCTATTTAGATCTATGAATTATCACATAGTTCTTTCCCCTGATTTTTTTTTAAATGAAAAGCAACTTTGGGAGCTGCAATAGAAACCAGAAGGCAGAATAGGAGATACTGTTGAGTCCTGTATGTTTCCACAATAGGTAAAATAATAGAATGGGGAAATGTTTGAATGAGTAGATAACTGGAGGGGAATAGTTAAATAGCACTTCAGTTTTCTACTGAAACCTCCAAGGCTTATTTTTTATTTAAAAATAAAATCAGGGAAAACCCCCACTATATGTTGGATCAAGTTCAGTCCTTAGGAGTCAGTCTGCAGTACGCATAGCAAGGCAGAGGTACAGAAATACATGACTGGGAATAGTACAAAAGATCACATCTCTATATTTGAAACTCAGTGCAGCATTCATTTTCTTAAAAATGTACAGAAGAGGACTTTCTCATTTAGAAAATTATAGATAGCTACATATTTCTTCAAGAAACAGAAAAATCAGGACATTCTGCTATCTCAAGATCCACTTAGTCTAAAAAAAAAAAAACCCTATCAGTTCATAGCTCAAACTTCGTTAGCTGCCTGTGAGCTTCTTTCAATAGGATTATGCTTGGAAAATGTATAGTTGAATAGTTCAAATAGTTCTGGGTTCTATTTGATAGAAAGCTGATTCTTCTGGGCTCCAACGCTATCCAGTGCTTGCAAAGAATTCATTTAGACCCTGAAAGAAAAAGAAATTATATAATTAATTTTTAAAATATTATATTTATTTACTAAATTTACTGTATACTCTGTTTTGAAATTTGCACCATCAAAGTTGACATCAGCCAGAGCATAGAAAAACTCAAAGAAATAGTCCAAGAAGGAAGATGTGGAGAGCTGGACATGACTGAATGGATAACATCATCATCCTGAAGTTTGACAAACTCACAAAATTAAGCTTAACCTTTCTGATAACTATGGTTATTTGCACTGGTACTCTTGGGAAAGTTTCTGAATATGCAGTGGCTGTTTGGATTTGATTATGTAGATCTAATCTGATTTCAGGTCTACTTGCCCTAATTGTTAAAAGCAGGGGTGAAATCTACTTACCTTCCCTACCTGTTCGGAAGTGCACGCGCATGCGCAGAGGATAAAAAACAGGTTACTTCTGGTTAAAACCAGGAAGTAACAACGACTGGGTGGGTGGGCAGAGCCTCATGCTATTGTCGCTACCGGTTCTCCAAACCACCTGCTGCCATCTCTACCGGTTCAACCGAACTGGGCCGAACCGGTAGCATTTCACCCCTGGTTAAAACCTGAGAATGGTCTCAATTCTAGCATTATAAAAGAATTCTTCCAGGGCATAGATACCTCATCATCCTAATGATCTCAATTTAATACAGACAGTACTAGAACCTAATCATTATGGTCATAAGTCGTAATGATTGTAAAATGGAGACAAGGATTATCTGTATTCAAAAAATCACAAGCTTCAGTTCTTTAGTACCTGAAAATGTTAAAATATATGGTATAAGGTTATTGAAATTAGTGACAATGATGTCAGAGCTGAACAAAATGTTTGTCTAGGACAGGGATCTCTGACCCTCCAGATGCTTCTGGACTAGAATTTACTGCTGCCTTGATAATTAAATGCTGGAAGATGTAGTTTAATAACCCCTGGAAGGGCCTTTCCTCTTCCCCATGGGGGGATAGAAGAAACAAATAAACATTGCTAAGTAGGTGAATGTATGTTAATTCCAATCTTCTTGCTCTAGTGCACATTAAAATTAATACAACAGGGACAGAGCCTAAAAATTGATGTAGTGAGGTCCTCTTTTCTTAAACCTCCAGGCGCTCCCAATATGTAAAATCTTAAATTTCCATCACAGATTCCCAGGCAGCCATCCTTGTTACCCGCTCTTCCTTTACCTTAAGAATAAGGACTACTTCTCACTCTCGGGTCATTAGGTCTTGTGGTCTGGCTGTTCATCTGTGAGATCACCAGCAAATCTTGCAAGCTGTGTTGCTGAATTGTTGGCTTCTGCAGGCTGAAGTGAATATTATAGTATTTTGCTGGCTTCCTGCCAGAAGCACTTCTGGACCCTACGATTTCTCTGGGGAGGGAAGCACTTTCTGTGTAACATTATGAAAAAGGGAAAAAAAGCATATGTTGTGATAGATCATCTCCAGCAGGATGCCAACCCCACTTTTCTTGGATTCAAGCAAGTATCAAGAAGAATGTACTGGGAAAGAGGTAAGTGGGGTTGTTATTGCAAGGACTGTAAAAGCATGTCAGCTCTCTGTTCTGCATGCTTCATCATTCATCTGCTAGGGAAAAGAATCAATACATCATATAGCATTATTATTACTAATCTATCTCCATCCATTTCCTCCCGTCAGCTGCAAGATTGGCACTGGATTTGCCTCCTCAATCTCAGCACTGTTTCAAAGAAAAAGAGAATATATATCACTGCAAACAATAAATAAAAAAAAATCACAAGCCTATGAGCCAAGCTCCTCCTTCTCCCTGCAAATATCACTGTGACACTGTGGTACTTACGGGACCGCCTGCTGCCACCAGTTGCCTCTCACCGGCCAGTACGCTCTCATAGAGAGGAGCTCCTCAGGGTGCCGTCGGCCAAACAGTATCGACTGGCGGCCCCCAGGGGGAGAGGCTTCTCTGTGGGGGCACCTGCTTTATAGAATGAGCTCCCCCCGGAGATACGGAGGATCCTGGATTTACACACCTTCCGCCGTGTCCGTAAGACCTTTTTATTTCAACAGGCTGGCCTCGCCTAACTTCCCTTTTTAATTGTAAATTTTAAATCTGTTTTAAAATTTTAGGGGTATTTTAATCTGTTCCGGGCCAAACTATTTAATTGGGTTTTATATTGTCTTTTAAATTTTGTAGTCTGTATGTTTTATCTCTTTGGCTGTTCACCGCCCTGAGTCCTTCAAGAGTAGGGTGGTATATAAATCTAATGAAATGAAATGAAATGATAAGAAAGATTTGGAGCAACTTTACGAAACCTGCTACCAAATGTCATGCTATGGCTTTTATCATCTTTATTTATTAAATTTATATGCTGCCTGTCAGTGAGTGAGTGAGTGAGTGAGTCTGTCTTGTCCGTCCACTATCCATCCATCCATCCATCCATCCATCCTTCCATTCATCCATCCATCCGAGCCATGAAAAATGATGGAAGCTGTTATCCATTCAAGAACATCTGAATTGCCCAATTTTGGAATCATGTTTTAAAAGCAGCTATCAACAATCTTTTCAGATAGCGCAGGTATCATCTTGAGATTTTGTATGATGATGATGATGATGATACCACCAACAATAAAATAAATTACAAATGGCTGAATCTCAATACATTGTCAGAATTTGCATAATTTCAGGTTTCTCATCCCCAAATCTCAGGAAATCTCCTCCTCCTGTAAATACTCTATATTAGACTTTCAGAAATCGAATGCATCTTAAAAATCTTAATTGTCTTTTGATTTTAGCTTATTCAGGCAATTCACTAAATAGTATGCAAGCAATGGAAAAACTACTTGGCTTTTTTAAATAATGTAACATTTATTTTTCTGACAAAGGACAGGAAACCTACAAATCTAAGCCTCAATATGCTTTATATTTTATCTGAGCAATCCCTAATAAGGAATTAATTGATGGCGATAATAAGAGGCCAAAACTCAACTGCTCAAGTGATAACTATTTCTAGGGGCCTTGAAACCAGGGAAAGTAAAGTTTGTTCTCTTGGAAGACTTCTGCAACCGAAAAAACCCCACAGTATGAATTTGTTTTATGCCATATCTCTTCTTGTGGACTAGAAGAGGTAATACCGTTGAAGAACTTAACATATCTTGATAACAGTGATAGTTATAATTTAACCAGAAGTATTATTTTCAAAGCCCAAGACCCCTCCCCTCTCTTTTTTTATAGACCCAAAGTTGATTACTATAATAGCCAAGAAAATGGCTCTCACTTGCTCGATTGGTGGGGTGTTGAGACTGGAGTTGACAGAGATGTTTTAATTGCTTCTCAGATGTTGTAAAATTTTTGCTGAAAAATTCTGAAATAAAGAAAGATGCTTTCCCCTTGCCATTCTCAGAAAAGTTCTTTCTCATTGCCTTGACTGCTGAGTGTGATGAAACTGCTTTTTCTCCAACATACTGGAAAGTCAATTCACCAAATGGGTGGAAATTTTTAACAGCTGGCGTTTCACAGACAGCCTTGTCTTTTGCAGTTTTGCTCCTCACATGATGTTTGTTCATTGCTGGAAAATGTTTGTCAGGATGATACGAGTTTTGTTTACTGCATGCTTTTGTAAATTCATTTGGAGATTGATGCTGGTAAGAAAGAGAAGGATGCTCAGGGATACATTTGCTTCACCAACCTGCCCTCCATTGTGGATATGTATACTGCACGAGTCAAAAAGAGGACTGTGAAAATATCTACAGACCCCTCACATCCTGGACATAAATTGTTTCAACTTCTACCCTCAAAATGACACTATAGAGCACTGCACACCAGAACAACTAGAAACAAGAAGAGTTTTTTTCCCAGAGTGGCAGAGTGCAGAGTGATGGCAGAGGGAAGGCCATCACTCTGCTAAACAACTAATTCCCACCACACTCTCAAATTATTTACTAAGACTGTATTACTATTATTCTTCTCTTCCTTACCAGTGTCTATGACTTCCCACTTATTACTATAACCATGTATTGCTTGTATCTTTCATTTATATTGTTTTTATTTGTTTCCTAGTATTTATTAATTTATAATAATTTATAATTTATTATTAACCTTGACTATCACTAAGTATTGTATCTTTTTCTTCTCGATGAATGTATTTTATTCTCCTTATGTACACTGAGAACATATACACAAAAGACAAATTCCTTGTGTGTCCAATCACACTTGGCCAATAAAGAATTCTATTCTATTCTATTCTATTCTATTCTATTCTATTCTATTCTATTCTATTCTATTCTATTCTACAACCTCATTGATAACCCAGTTGTTAAGAGATCCAGAGATTGTGCTAAATAAGTATAGGCAACTTCTTTTCAGATAGGGGGAGCACACTTTTTGGGAGGTTGATACTCCCAATATATTTGGACATAACATCACAGTAAAGCAAAAACTCATCATCACAGAATCAGCCCCAAATTTTTGGCACTTCCCCCATCCCTTGGGATGGATGTTGGATTTAAATAAAATAAGTATGTCAAATGGAATGAAGCCTTGGTACATTATTTTATTATTATTATTTAAATCTAACCTTGGGGCAATCAATCTTGATGGTACAATCATGGATGGAGAGATGCAAAACAACAGCATGCCATCCTTTCTTGAAAGTTGTATGTGGTCCATAAATTGCCTGTGTTTATCTTAAAGATATGTGACTAGACTAAGCTTTTATCTCAGTAATTAAATCAAGGTAACCTTACAATTCTACTAAATATTAATATTCATTCATTCCAGTAGGTAGAATTAACAAAAAACAGACAGCCTAGAATCAAAGTGAAATTTGTATAGCCCCCTTATATTTGATTTCCAACCTTTATTGCTTTCACAATATGAAGCCAAGACAAGAAAAATATCCTGAACAATTTTTGGTTTAAAAGCTTGCTCTGTGTTTGTTGCCTGGTGTGGTGTTGTGATCTCAGAAACAGTGCTGCAATAATGCTGCAAAGCCTGTGGCTTTGTTACTTACTTTTGTTCTAATGTTCGTATTAGTTGCAGAATGGTGAATATTAGTAGTATTCCGCAGTTCTGGCCTGGAATTAGATTGATCTGGAGTGCTGGATGAATTCTGACACGTCAAATTAGGCACAGAGCTGTAAGGCCTCACTGGATGCTTTGCAGAATACTCTGGGTTATCAGTTTCAGGGCTCTTATGTGGGGAAATACTTGAAAATTCACAGATCACTTCTTTCTTGGGCTCTTGTTCATCCGAAAAATGTTCAAGCAGGACAACAGTCCCAGGTCCTGATTCTGAACAAATCTGAGTCTGTGTAAAAAAGGAAAAAGCAGCCCCAAACAATATTAAGTTTGATAACGATGGTCAGTAAATTCAGAGCAATATATGTATATGAGATCAAGCCTGTTTGGGTTAGGTTGAATTTCATTGACTTCAACAATATGCACAATGTATACATTAAAACATCAAAAACTCATAAAATTATGACTTCAAAAATATTATGACTTAAGTGCTGAGTAAATTGCAAAGATGCAATTGTTTGCTTACACTCTGTTCTCATTACTGTAAAAAAAAAAGCTTGGTATTTAACTTTAATTAGATTTGGAGGCTGAAAAATCTTTTTTTAGAAGTTTGTCACATAAATTTAAGAAATTTCTTCATTGCTTAAAAAAAAATCTATCTTGAATTCCAAGTTCAAGGAAGGTACACTCACCAGGTCAGTATAAGAATCAAAAGTAGTGAAAACCCTAATTTTATTTGTTGAAGCTTCACTCTAGCTAATCAATGGAACAGATTGATGGACATGAAACAATAGTACAAATTCAGGGACATCCGGAGGGCCACTTTTGCTCATTCTTGCAGGGGAAAAAAACAACAGCTCTTCAGGAGATTTAACTGACTGTGAAGGGAAAGCTTTACACACGTAGCCTTCTACTACAATCTGTTTTTCTCTCTCTTGCTCTCAATCTCCTTTCCAATATCTCAATCTCCTTCCCAAGCAGCTTTCCTACGCACAGCTTTCCCTTCTTGTTAAAATATGTCAGAGAATCACATTGTTTCTCTGATTATCTTAACCTTTTAATCATATAATGAACTTCATCCCCATTATGAATTGGCTAGATTGCATTCAAAGAAAAGAGGTCAAGTAGAGAACAGGTTAAAATAGAATAAGCATACCCTAAACCCTAATACATATGCCGCAGATAGAACATTTACCACATCTAATTTTAATGCTATTATTTTATTAATTTTATTAATGCTATTATAATTTATTATTTATTTTATGTCTAGAAGGCACTAATACAAAAGTGCAAAAAGGTGTGGAAGCTATGGAGATCATATAATTTTTTAATTGCAGATTGTATCATTTATGTTCAAGGCCAAGAGTCTTCCTCAAAATCTATGTTCTCATGAAACTCTTCTGCAAGCCCATTGGGTGATCTTTTGGATCCTCATACTGTGGCCTCACCTCTTGCCCCTAGAAAATAGCTTAGTATTCTTACTGATACCACTTATCTTCTAAGTGATATCTCACCTGGCATCATTCCCCTAGCATTAATATATGACAAAGAAATTAAGGTTCTCATACCCAGCTGTTTTTTTGGAGTAGAAAGATAAAAAAATACAATAAATCAGTAATCCACATTTTCCAGTGCTGATTACTTGCATTTTAATGGGTAAATTTAAAAGATGCTTTGCTCTGATTTCCCAATTGAGTTCTTAATCATCAAATCTGTTTATTTTGTTTATCTCCTGTGAGATTGGTTTATCTCCTAAGTGGAATAAAGGCTGATACCACTAATCATATACATTGATATTATATCATGAAACAACTATTTTGAGCATTCCAAACTTGAAATGAATAAAATATAAAACGATGATGATTTGCGTCCCAACAATTGCTGCTGAATCACTCTGTAGCTCATGATTATAACATGTCTGTCTACCTGGTAAATACTGCTACAGGAAGGAAGAGTTTATACGGAAAAATTGCATGTATTTTTGCTTTGTTTTATTTTGCAGGCAGGTAGGAAAGCAATAAAATAAAGTACAGTATATGTATTTAAATGCAATATTGTATTTTACATCTGTTGCAGATATAACTGAAAAAGTACACACGCAAAAATTGATTTGACTGCTTTGTTGAGCTTTGATGTGTGCATTTGTATTGTATCCTTTTGATGCTAAACTTCATCATTTATTTTAAAAATCTAAAAAAGTTATGTTGTATCTTGATGATTTATCAGTGAACCACATACAACTCCTAGCTGGTGTGATGGGGCAACACGTTTACAAAGTAGTCTTTAATTTGAAAATTCTAGCTTCCACAAAGTAGCATATAAGCCAAATGGCAAAATGTTCAAAATAATTTCTGTTAAACGTCCTTACATATAGAGACGCTATATGTTGATTACTATGACTTTTTCTCCATCTTGCCAAAATACACAGTGCCAGATAAAAACCATAACAGACCAAAGTTATGACTGATGTCAGAGGTTAATATTTCTAGACAATACTGGTGGTAGTCAGAATGCATGGCTAATTGTAATTTTGGAGAAGTAAATGTAAAGAACAGAAATGAAATATGAAACAAATACAATACATTTTGCAAACTTAAAAGAAAGGGAAAAGATGCATTAAAAATGAGAATGAATTAGGTCTGATATTTTGGAGTGAAATTAATGCATACATACATAAGAAAACAAAAGGTTAATCATCAATGAAAAGGATAAAATATATGTCAGTAGGTATTAGCTAATGTCATTTAGATTCCTGTGGGTGCATATGAGAATAGGAATTCATATACTGAGAATTGCTTGCTATTCCAGTGAATGTTCCTAATGAAAGCATGAGTTTTGAGCTATGCAATACTCTGAATAAATGCAATATATGGGAAAAGTTATTCTGTTATATGATATAATTGGATGAATGGGAATTAGATGAAAGGGCTTTGAAAACCTCTCATAAATATGATTTATATATTTATTTACTGTTCTAGTTTATGTAGATGCACATCTCGTGTATATGAATTTGGATGGCTTACAAATAATTAAGACAGGGTAAAACAACTTTTTATTGGGTATAGTTAAGGGTTTTACACGGGGTGAAATAAAATTAATATTGTATATGATAACAGCAGCAAGATTGTTGATAGGTAAATATTGGAAGAATGAAGCTTTGCCTACTATCGAGGAATGGACTTTGAAGATGGCCAGTTTTGCAGAGATGGCGAAGATTTCAGCATATTTAAAAGATTGTTCACAAGAGACTTATGAATGGGAATGGAAAAGGTGGATAGAATATGTTCAGAACAAATACCAAACTAGAAAGTACCAAATAGCTTTTATTTGAAAATAATGTATTAGAAATATCTTAATGTAAAGAGATAAAGAGGGAAGATAATATAGGGGGAGGGATGGGTTCAGGTATATATATCAGTATTATTAGTTATGAGTACATAATAGGGAAGTCTGGGGGGGGGTTAGGGAGGTTAGGGAATGGGAATTTGGGAGGGGGGTGAAAAAAGGGGTGAAAATGTAATTGTAAAACTTTTGCAATAAAAAAAAAAAAAGACAGGGTAAAACAACGAGACAATGTAACAGTTTAAAAAATATAAAATTATACAAAAACAATAAAATGCATATAGTTCACAGCTGAAGTAATCAAATCTACCAATAATATTCAATAAAACCACTGTGCAGGGCTCTACCACATTCCTGAGTACTCACACCTATTGGTTAAATCATGTTTTCAGGATCTTTTGCAAGGCTAACAAGGTCAGGGCCAATCTGATCCTTGGGGAGATGATGTTTCACAGGGTGGATGTAAAGACCTGCCTCAGCTTTCACTTTTGCTGTAACTGCTTGGGAGTTTTTGGGGGAGGAACATCCACCCATCTGCACTTTCTCAGCTGATTCCAGCCTGGTATTCAAGGTTGCAGCATCCCGAAGACAACCCCTTCTCACCATCATGTCTTGGAGTTTTACAAAACAGCATTTCATTGGCTTTGGATGGACATAGGATACTGGGGTGGGGTGGGGGTTGACGGGGATAGTTAGCCTACTGCTTTGCACATGAATTCAGAGTCCACCTGACTTCTCTGCAATCATTACCTCTCAGTAAAAGTTCCTTTTGAAAAGCAAACTGCTTCAAGAGTTTTACTTTCTTGAGAAGGCAGGTGTCAACTCTGAAGTGAACCTGGCTTGGGCCATTTTGGAGGCTTCAGGCTTGTAGGACATTGTTAGATGGGGGGTTTGTAGCCAAAACAAAATAGTTTCCTGTGGGAACCAAGGGCATTCTAACAGGTGGCTGGAGAAAGGAGGGGTGAAATAACCAGCCAGCACCTTGATTGGACTGTTTGGGGGAAGGAGGAACTTTCACTTTTTAATCAGGTGAAAACCACAGGAACTTTCAGAGTCGGTTTTCACAGTTTATGTCAATATGATATCTCCAATAAAACTGTTCTTTGAGGAATCTGCCTGACTTGGAATTCTGCTTTCTATGGGTCTATTACTTGGAACCATGACAGCAGGTCCTTACATTAGGCGGAGTCTCCTAGGCTAGCAGCTTCCTCCGCCTATCCAGTGGAGTTCACACCTGGCTGAGGTTTGACTGAAGCTTCACCCCAGCATTCAGTTTCTTCTTGATCGCTCCCTTATGCCGACATTGTTTGCGTGGTCCCCACGGTAGGGCAGGCGCCTCTCCGGGTTGACCAGTTTGTAGATTATGCCTAATGTAAGAACCTGCTTCAGCTACCTTCTCAAGTAAGTAAAAAGCGAAAGCATGCAAAACATTCCTCCACCCAGCCTCCTCCCCCTGCCTTCAGAATGGCAGCGTTCCAAAAGGGACCTGACAGTGGATGCCAAAGCAGAAAAAGTCTCTTCCTTGTTACCACCAACCAACAGCTCTGTGTGATGGGATCTGGAGCATGACCCTCCTACCAGATCCAATGGGATGGATAGATAGGACTGAAAAGACGTAGTCCCTCAAATAATCTGGTTCTGTGCCATGTAAGCATACCTTAAACAAAGTAATAGAGGGGATAAACATAAAACAGGTATCAAAGTTCAAATATCTAGGAACAACATCTAAAACAGACCATTGTAAGATTAACATACAATGCAGTAAGGCAAACCAGGTATTGGGACAGCTAGCTCCAATCCTACAACCTAAGGCAATACCGATCAGTACAAAGAAGCATCTCATACAAACATATTCAGCTCCTATGTTAATCAGTGCCAAATATGAGCACTTAAAATAAAACAAAAATGAATGTCAGTCATCACGGAAATGAGCTGTTGGAGGAAAGCTGCTAAAGCGACCAGAAGAGATAAAATCAGAAATGAGACCGTAAGAGAAAGAATTGGCATAGAACCAATCGTAAACTACAACAAAAACAGCAAGTAAAGTGGTTTGTTTACATGGAGTGGATGTCCTCGGATTCCATACTATACCCAGGCATATACAAAAAGAGGAGGTCAAAGAACACAAGGCAGACTCAGAAAAATATAGAGAGACAACATCAAAGACGTTATAATAGCCTCAAATTACAATAGTTGAGGCCATAGAAGAGCAAGAATCAGAACTTTGTATCACCCTCAACATCCAAAGTGGTAAAAGAGGAAGTAAAGAAGAAGAAAAATGATCCTAGCAAAACCCCCGACGTTATGCTTGTCTTCAGCTGAAATTGGTGGAGCTTAAATATGATTTCTATAATGTGTACAAAATGTGACTGGGCCATTCAGGGACTCCAGAATGAAGGAAAATAGAGATGTTTTACAAGTATCTGCTATACTTCAAATACAGTACATAGTTTAAAAATAAGTATTTACCTTAACAATTATTTTATGGAGTACGACAAAAGCTGTGTGGAGAAATGCTAATTGGAAGGAGGGGAATAAACAGATGGTATAACTATCAACTGAAAGAGATCTTGGATGAGAGGAAAAAAGATAATGTAAAAAAGATTGCTGCAAAAAAAAGGAAGATGAGAAAATACATTTTACAATGTTTATAGAGAGAAAAAACTATTTTAAATCTTAGATCTACAATTGTGGATTGAGAACCAACATGACAAGCATGAATTTGAAAATTACTGTTATCCAACATCAAGATAGTTATGTTTCACAGAGAAAAGTGAAATTTCAAATAATAAACAAATGCAGAAAAATTAGAGCAAGTAGAGTTGTATATTTTGATAGAATGTTTGGGAAAGACCGGCAAATAGATGGAGAATTTTTAAGATGTAGAAATCCTTATGGTTTGTTGCAAAAATGAATGCTGAAACAGACAAAAATATCTGTGTACGGTATAAAATGTAATTACAATGAAGTACTCTGTGTGATAAAACAGGCAGAAATAATTTATATAATGATTAGATTATGAATGCATGTGGACTGAATAAAAAAAATTAATGACCAGAATGAAAGGAATAACACTGAGTTTGACTAAATAGACAAGATAAATAAGTCACAAAACAAATATAGGAAGGAAAAGTGAATGGGTCAAGAGAAAGGGGAATACCACAAAAACTGTAATTCGCTGGAGCTGATAAAATCCTGAAAAATAGAGGTGAAATGTTTTAGAGGGTGGTATATAAATCAGTATATAAAATAGTATATACAGCAAAGACTGCTTCAATCATAGAAAATTATGGAGAAATATAATGAATGGTAATGTATAAACTAGATTTACTTCCTCTTATCTCCATTTCTTTTAATTACTGTTTCCTACCTCTTTTCTGCACTTTGTATAATACTGCTTACCCTGAAATTAAGTAATGTGATGGATATGTAAGTATGAAAAATATGTTTCTAACTAAAGGTCATTTTACAAAATTTGATGAAGCATAAAAATTGGGAGGTGTCAAATTTTTCAACTTTCAATTTCCAAACATTAGGGGTGCTGAAAAGTTGTGACATGCCTTGGTGATTGTCAAGATATTTTGGTTGCTTTAATATAATTTAGATGTGCTTGATAAATAACTACACAAATATCATAACTTTTTAACGTTTTGTTTCATTTCATAGGTTCAGCTGTCTTTCTCTTTTCATTAAACGTTATTTTGTCTGAGAATGTTAATACTGCTGGCCTCGTTTCTTGTGAGTGTAATAACTGATCTGTAATGGCTTCTAAAAAAACATTCACTCATATGAACAACCTAATTGGGGCTGGCAGAAACTTATTGCCATCTGAACTCCCAACACTGCAAAACATTGCAGGTCAGATATGGCCTACTATTAAGAAAACAAAATAGTGATGATGCTAGAAATTACCCAGCAGACAATCTTGCAAGAGACATATATCCAAAAGTGCTTGAATAATGGGAATGAGCAAACAGTTCTTTTGTCAACCCTGTTATAAATTTACAAATGACAATCTTGAACTAGATCCAAGAGAGCTAGGATCAAGCCAAAACATATCTCTTGGTAGAAGAAAGCTAGATAACGAAGAGACTTTAAATGTGAAACTTGACAAACTGTTTGACACCCTCAATTGCAAGTGTCAAATTCTTCTGTGTGCTGAATTTGGCTGTCCTGCTGACTGCAAAAAAGAAGCTCATGCTAGCTGTACCTGTCCTAAGGAAATGAAGATATTATTGAAGGAACTTGCTTTTATTAAAAGAGATAAGACTGGTTCTTTTGGATCACACCAGATTGGTTTGCCAGATGTGCCTGAGCAGAAATGACTAGTCAAAAGGAAAAAGCGGCAAGATGATGAGCGACAAAGGCTTGCTAAATATAAGCAGAGAAGTATTCCAGACATTTCAATACTGACTATTGAAGTAATTATATCTTATGATGAAAATGAAGGACAGATGATTGATGGTGAAGATGAAGAGGAATGTAATGGAAGTTATGAAGAGGCTTCTTACACCAAACACACATGCCCTCTCCTTCAAAAGAAAAGGCAGAATACTATTGATTGGAAATAGCAAATGTCACTATGCAGAGCATAAGATATAGTGTTGATCTACATGCCACTGCTGCCATTACCACAGCTGCCTTCATAAATGTTGGCTTGACCATCGAAGAACAAAATTGGTTTATTAAAAATTAAATCACAGAATTAAAACCTTTTTGCTCTCTTATTTACCAGAGGTTCCGGTGCAAAAAAAAAAAGTCAGCTAAATGTTTCTCTATTATTCATACCTGGACCGAGGCTGGCAGTATAGTTGATCTATTTACTGTCTTTGGCCTAGGAATCTTTGTTTTTTCTCCACTGGACTCTCCTGGGAATTCAGTCTTCTTTTCTTTCAATGTAAGTTTTTGTTCTTGCTTGAGACGCAGTTCCTGCAGCTGATGCCTATTTATATCAATTCACCAAAATGTTATATAACAATTATTTATTTTTTATTTTTATTTATTTTATTTTTATACCGCCCTTTTTCTGCGGGACTCAGGCCGGTGTAGAGCCGAGATAAAACATAGCATATAAAATGTAAAAAGAGTTTAAAAAACAATTAAATAATTTCAGCCCAAAATTTAAAACAACCCAATTAAAACCAAATTCAATTAAAACTGAGAGGATGGGATCAAGCCAGCCCGGCTAGATGGAATAAGTGTGTTTTCAGGACCCGACGAAAAGTCCGGCGGTCTGATATCGTGTGTATGTAAGGGGGTAGGTCATTCCAGAAGGCAGGTGCTGCCACAGAGAAGGCTCTCCCCCTGGGGGTCGCCAGCCGGCACTGTCTGGCCAACGGCACCCTGAGTAGGCCCTCTCTGTGTGAGCGAACCCGTCGGTGGGAGGCTATTGGCAGCAGAAGGCGGTCTCGCAGATACCCCGGCCCTAAGTCATGGAGCGCTTTAAATGTGGTCACCAACACCTTGAAGCGCACCCGGAAGACCACAGGAAACCAGTGCAGCTCGCGCGGGAGAGGTGTCATATGTGAGCGCCCCGTCGCTCCCATAATCCCCCATGTGGCCGCGTTCTGGACTAACTGCAGCCTCCGGATGCACCCCAAGGAGAGCCCCATGTAGAAAGCATTGCAGTAGTCCAGGCAGGAAGTGACGAGTGCTTGAGTGACTGTGCGTAGGGAGTCCCGATCCAGAAAGGGGTGCAACTGGCGTATCAGGCGAACCTGATAAAAAGCCCCCCTGGCGATGGCCATCATGTGCTCTTCTAAAGACAGCCGTGCACCCAGGAGGACGCCTAAGTTGCGAGCCCTCTCCATGGGGGCCAGTGATTTGCCCCCAATAGCCAGCGATGGCACCAGCTGGCTATATCGGGATGCCGGAAGCCACAGCCACTTGGTCTTGGAAGGGTTGAGTCGGAGCCTGTTTCTCCCCATCCAGGCCCGCATGGCCTCCAGGCACTGGGACATCACTTCAAGGGCATCGTTGGGGTGGCCTGGGGTGGAGATGTACAGCTGAGTGCCGTCAGCGTACTGATGGAACTCCACCCCAAAGCCACAGATGATCTCACCCAGCGGCTTTACATAAATTTTGAACAGAAGGGGCGAGAGGACCGACCCTTGTGGCACCCCACAAGCAAGGCACCTTGGGGTTGACCGCTGCCCCCCTGTCAACACAGATTGCGACCGGTCAGAGAGGTAGGAGGAGAACCACCGCAGAATGGTGCCCCCCCACCCCCAGCCCCTTCAACCGGTGCAACATGATACCATGGTCGATGGTATCAAAAGCCGCTGAGAGATCTAACAGGACCAGGATAGAGGAACAACCCCTATCCCGAGCCCTCCAGAGATCATCCACCAACGTGACCAATGCCGTTTCCGTGCTGTGCCCAGGCCAGAATTACACTAGGAAGACGCAATACCAAACACTGTTGACTGTCCATTTATGATAATTAATCTGTCTACTGGTGGCTTTTCAAACATCCAAAATAGGCCACGGTGTTCAGAACCAGGATAAGCCTATTATCAGAGATCAGCAGATTTCCTTTATTAATGCAATGTTGGGTAAATATTTGCAAATACTTTGCAAGAAATCAGGTAATGTCAGAATACTATAAATGGTTTCATTGTAAAATAAGCAGGCAAAGTTAGAAATTCCAGCAATTAGAATGATGGGCAAGAAGGCAAATGGATCTGTGACTGTAGCTTGAAGCAGCTCTCAGCCTCATTTAGTCAGATTTTTAACATGTCAAGATATATTGAATAAAGTATATGTAGAATATGCTGTCCTTTATGCACCAAGAGAAAACATTTGCAGAGCAGTACTATATGCCTTGGTCTGAAAGACACAAAGATAAAACTGGAAGGCAACTGAAACAGAATCAGTGGGAGCCAATGCTGTCTGAAGACAATGCTGTGGTCATGTGGCCAGCATGAGTATATGCTTTGCTAAATGGAATGCTGTTACCTTCCCACCAAAGTGGTACCAATTTATCTACCTGCACTTGCATGCTTTCGAATTGCTTGATTGGAAGGAGCTGGAGGAAGAATAGGAGCTCATAAGGCAACACTTGGGTCTTGAACGCGGACTGCCATGTTTCCAGCTGACAAGCTCAGTATCTTTAACCGTTGAGCCATTGCATCCTCTCAATATCAATAATAATAATAAAGTAAAATATGATTTAGATCAGAGGTCACCAACCAGTGGTGGTCTGTGACAAAATTTTGGTGGTCCACAGCACACCTGAGCTGCTCTGGAATGACCAATGGCCAGTCCTGTGACTAGAGCTCTGGAATATGGGACTGGCCAGGCAGTTTATGGTGGGGCTGGAAATCTCGGCTGCATCTGGGTTGAGTGAGTATCCGGGTCTTCTCCCACGTAAAATTGGAAGTGTCTTGGCGACGTTTTGACGAAGTCTCATTCGTCATCTTCAGGCTGGTGTTCTCGGCTTCGTGCTCCTGGAAGCACGAAGCCGAGAACACCAGCCTGAAGATGACGAATGAGACTTCGTCGAAACGTCGCCAAGACACTTCCAATTTTACGTGGGAGAAGACCCGAATAACCAAAGACATATATATATATATATTATATATTATATATATATATATATTATATATATATATATATATATATGATTGATATATATATATATATGAGAGACACAGACAGAGAGAGGGTGGGAGAGAGGAGAGAGAGAGAGAGAGAGAGAGAGAGAGAAAGAAAAATGAGACAGAGACACACAGAGAGGGAGGAGAGATGAGACGGACAGACAGAGGGAGAGAGAGATGAGAGAGAGAGAAAGAGAAAGAGAGATGAGGGAGACAGACAAACAGAGAGGGGGGAGAGAGAGATGCAGACAGACAAAGAGAGGGGAAAGAGAGAGACAGACAGACAGACAGACAGACAGACAGGAAAGAAAAAGAGAGAAAGAAAGAAAGATGAGAGAGACAGACAGACAGATAAAGGGGGAGGGGAGAAAGAGGTGAGAGATCCCGGTGTTTTGTTTTCTGTGGGAAACAGGTCCAAATGGCTCTTTGAGTGTTTAAGGTTGCAGAAACAGGCTGCCAAACTAAGTGCCTGAAGGCCCCCATCCCGTCACAGGGAGTCCAGGTGCTTCAGCGAGTGGTGCACTGAATTCATATTAGTGGTCCACAGGATTTAAAATTATTAATTTAGTGGTTCCTGAGGTCCAAAAGGTTGGTGACCCCTGATTTAGATGATACATATCATTATATGTCTGTTGACTTTGTACATAAATTTCATCCTAGTCTAGTACACAAAATAAGCAAATATGATTATATAGTTAAAAATGTCCTTTTCCTTTTTTTCAATTCATTACTGTCAACTGCTCAATGGGCATCCCTGGAGAGACAGGGGAGATGGTCAGCTCCTATTCTCAAGAATGGGTTAATACACTTCCGGTTTGCTGTTTGTCGCTGCCAGACGTTCCTTTGGGATCGTCAGCTTCCATCGCCTGTCAGAGCCGCCTTCACAACGGAATGGCGGCTCGAAAAAACTCCGTTTCCATGAGGAAACAGAGATAGAGCCGGCAGGGGTGGGTAGAACTCTCTGCGGAGTCCCAAAAGTTTTTCCTTTACTTTTGGGACGGAGCGGATGAGATGCCCCGTATCCCCAGCCGCTGCTCCGGGCTTTGGGAGACCTCTGCTGATGCAGAGCCAGGCGTCAAAAGCAAGCCTGCAAATTTAACAGACTACTCAAAGAAAATGTGAGCTGGACCTGTAATACTGAATCGCAAGTATTTTACTGAATTTTTAAAAAAATTACTTAAGAGAGAGGAGGAAAAGAAAGAGGAAAAAAAGCCTTTTAAAATGGCGTCGGCTGGAGGAGAGGCTGAAAGGGAAAGTCCTTCCGTTTTCTATTACCACAATGTAGCGGAATAAATACCACTGGCTACATTTGTAGACAAAACTTCGCTCCTGTGTCTTTTTCTCTTTTTCTTCCCTTGGAGACTTGATATTGTTGTTGATTGGAAAGAAGTCCTTTTTTTTTTCTTTCTTGCTTTTTTTTTAACAAAGCCTGCCTGGGCGGAAACATGGCACTGAGACTCATAAAGTCAGATAAACAAGAAGGGGGGGGATTCCCCCACCAATAACTTAAAGGAACAAGTCTTAATTCTTTAGTCTCAGAAACCTGATTTTAATATAATAGAATTTTTTATAGAGGAGATTGAAAGAAGGGAGGAGATTGTGAATCAGCAACTTGAAAAATTTAAGCAGGAAATTAAAGAATTGGTGAAATCCAAGTTTGATTCTTTGGACAAAAAATTCTCAAAAGTGGCTAATGGCTTTACAGAATTTATGATACAGTTGGACACAAATACTAATGTACTAGAGTCTAAAATGGAAGAAATTCAAGATAAATTGGACAATAGAATTCAAAAAATTGAAAATGATCTGACAAACACTCAGGATAATAGCTTAGAAGAAAAACCTAAAATGGATGCTGATCAAAAGTATGGTAATGCAGAAAATCTGCAACAGAAGATTGAAAAAGAGATTTTAATGGTACAATATAATTTCACAGAATATGCGATAAGATTAAGAGGTTTGCAGGAAAATAATAGAGATGATTTAAGGAAAATATCTTCTGAATTTCTAGCTGGGATTCTAAAGGTTCAACCTGACGAAGTGTTTTGTAGGATTGACAGAGTTTATCGAATTAACTCCTGGATTGCCAAGCAAAGGCAATTGCCTAGAGATGTGGTGATTTATTTTACAGATAAGGAAATTAGGAATAATATCGTGCAAAATTCCTTCAATTCTAATTTGCAATTGTATGGAAGAAAGATTTGGATTTACAAGGAACTCCCACCTAAGATATTGATGGAAAGGAAGAAATTTGGTTTTCTGGTGAATGAGTTAAAAAAGAGAAATATCCCATTCAGGTGGGACGCCCCAGTTGGTATTATATTTAGATACCAAGGAGAAAGATATCAGCTAAATACTGTTGAAAGAGCGGAAGAATTTTATCAAAATAGGTTGAAAATGAACTTAACATCTTCAGATATAATACAGGATAAGCAGAAGGAGCCGGAAATAAAGGTAAAATATCGAATTACAGAGATTGTACCAGATGAATTGCCTTTGGATTTATTGGATACCCCAGCTGGACTATCTACAAATTTGAGAGAAGTGGCATCTAACCTTAATGTGATGACTTATCAAGGCAAGGATAAGCATGGAAACCAATTAGGGGATATACAAGGGATAAAAAAGAAACATGAGATACAAAAGCAAAACCAACAAGACCAATCTACAAAGCAGAATAAAAACTGACCAGATGATACACAATTTGTAGAAAGGAAACCAGGATGGAAACCAAACCCACAAAAAGAAAAGAAAAAAAGAAATAGGTGGCATAAAAATAGAAATTTCTAAATCAGGCAACAGTGAAGCCAGTGACTTTAAAATATGAATGATTATGTGTAAACACACAAGAGGCGACGTATTGGTTAATATCATCCTGAGGATTGTGGCAGATCTCTGCATGGCCGTAATCTGGGGACGTGAAACGAGCCTTAAACTGACGGATTTGAATTATCCATTTTGGAATTTCTTTTTGTGTTGATAAACATATTATATTATCTTGAATCACAAGGCAAGAGAATTATGCTGGGGCATGCAGAAGATCGGGTTGTTACCCACTACGATGATGGGAATCAATAATCCTGATGAAACCCACAATTATTACTATATGGAATATAATTATAATGTCACTCGGGTGGTTGTTTTTACTTTTATACATATAAGAAGATATTTACTACTGATGGGGGCAGATATGATTGAAGATCCTGAATAAACTGTTGCACCAGCAAGCTATGTTACCCGATTATGGATGTTGGTACCAATCCAGTGGAAAGACCTCAAAGAAGATACTATATGGATTATAAATTTAAAGTCATTGTCTTTTCTTTTTTTTTATTTAGATATAATGGAAAATATAGACATATATTTTTAAGTAGTGTGGGCAGTGAATCAAAGATATTAAGAAATGTTGTGTATGGTAATTTTGCATGATAGTGGGTGAGTAAGCTAGTTAGTAGATTGATTAGTCTAAGAAAAGGGATTTTTAAGTGATATATTTAGGGGAGTGGAGGAAATGGATAGAGTGGAATAAATGTTAAACTAGATTTTATGGGGAAGGCCGCTTTGAAATGTTATAGTAATATATATAGAAGATTAAATGTTAAAGTAGGACTTATCGTATAGTTTTAAAGTGGAGAAGTTATTCTATAATGTCATAGTATAATGTCTTTTTTTTTTTCCTTTCTTTTCTCTTTTCTGAAATGTATGGATAAAGGGGGATGTTATAATTATAATATTAATAATATTTTTAGTAAGTAAAGGTCAATGCCTTCCGTCGCGCCCTTAAAACCCATTTATTTAAACAAGCCGGGCTGGCTTAAGATGAAATTTTTAACTGTTTTTAAATGTTTTAAACGTTTTTAATTGGCAAATGAGTTTTAATTGGGCCAAATTTATATATCTTTTAATTGTTTTTAATATTTGTTCTGCATGTTTTTTAATCTGGCTGTACACCGCCCTGAGTCCTCAGGGAGAAGGGCGGTATAGAAATCCAATATAAAATAAAATAAAATAAAATAAATATCTAGAGGAGGGAGTAAGTAAGCTGTTATGAACTAGGTTTTTTTTTTTGTTATGAAGAAGTCACAGGGGGGATGGGTGGGGAGGGGGGGTTAGGGAGGGGGAGGGAGAGGGGAAAAAAAAAGGGGGGGAAATTTGTATTTGAAAACTTTTTCAATAAAAAAAAAAAAAGAATGGGTTAATACAATTATACAAAGGCTGTTACAATTTTTTTTCAGGAACAAATTTTGCAGAAATTTCCATGAAAGGGACCTGGTGGTGGAGAATGGGGAAGGAGCTGGAAATGTGGAGTTTGAGGATTAGACTGTATTCTGGAAGTTGATTTGTGCTAAAGCCGAAAATGTTTCCTGCTGTCTCTGAATTCAGCAGTTACTCAACTTATTATTCATTAGAAGATTTTCAAATTTCAAATTTCTTGCAGATTAAACAGAGACCAGCTACTTAATGCAAAAGTCTGTCAAGCCTACTTGATAAATGAATACTATCAATTTGGTTTCTTGCAAATATTTCCCATTCTTCTTTTCTTCTTCTCCCGCTCAAAATAATTGCAGATATAGGTGTAAATATTTTTTCAGAACAATATTCTGTGTATCTGATACAGGTGAAGTGTTTTATTTCTTTATGTAGATTTAGTAGGCTGACTCTTGAATGATTCAGGGCAGCTTACATGGTTAAAAGAAAAACTATTTCAAAGAAAAACATCTGCACCTATACAAAAACCCACGTTATATTTTTTTAAAAAAATTCCCAATCTACCAGAGCCTTAACAAACAACCTAATCCAAGGCCTGGGAGACAAACCACATTTTCAAAGACGTATGAAAAGTGTATAAAGTGGGAGTTGTGTGTATCTCTTGGGGAATGTTGTTTCAGAGGGCAGGCTCTGAAAGTGTGCTTCTACGGTCCCACAAGATGATATTGTTTAACTAATAGAACTCATATCTTATTGCATGGGGAAAGAAACCACTGGTGACAGATGATCTTTCAAATAATCTCGCCCCAGAACCAGCAGCTTCAACTGTACCTGGAAGCCAATTGGTATCCAAGCTTGTGGAAAATGGTGACTCATGGAAGCAAACAAAGATATTGTTTAAACAATATGAACCTTCTTGAGAGCTGGTCCTAATCTATGATAATCCCTGCCTCACAGCACCAAATTGACTTCCATACTTTTCTGCTGTTTGGTTAAGTTTTTTCTGTTTAGAAATACACATTGCAAAAACAGTGCAGACACTATTTTAATAAATTATCTGCTGTACTTGCCAGCTTTAATTTGATTTCTTTTTCTGCCTAGTTCCCTTTTTCCTTTTACTGATTTCCATTTATTTTTGGCTTTAAATTGCCATGAATTTCCTTGCTTGGCATTAGGAAGATAGGACAGAATTTTAAAAAATAAATAACATTTTGTTACAAAGTAAATTTCAGCATTCTGATCTCGCAAGACATCTAAAAAATCATTTATTTAAAGAACGGGGGAAAACCCTTGTTGTCTTTCTCTCTCATACATACTTGCTGATACCTTCTACAGTCTTGCCAGTTTACTTAGCATTGTTAAAACACAAAATGAAGAATTAAATTTAGTAACATTTTAATGTTAAAAATTAGTCCCTGTAATTTTATTTAAAACACAATAGATCAAGTAATCCTCTTTCTTGACTTCCGGGGAAGAAATTGCAAAGTTGATGCCCTTCAGTAGGATGAAGAGGTGCAGAATGGTCCAGCCCTTTATGGATAAGGAGAGGATAGCTGCTCCTTACAAGGAGAGAGCAAGATAGAGGTTTCTGGTGGGTTTAGAGCTCTGGGAGATGAAAGAATAGATATCTTTTTAAAGCTGCAGTTGGCACCTTCAAAAAGGCATTGGGTTTGCGTACTTCCTTTTCTAATCAACAATTCTAACAATTTTGGAAATTATTTGTTAACTGCTTTTCAGCTATTAGGAACCTTCAGATCGATATATTTTATACCAAGCACTAGGAATATTTCTTTTAATCCTTAGCAAAAGGAGTTTAAATACAAGTTTAAGGACTTACACCTTTTTTCTGTTTTAAGAATAAATAGGGAAAGGTGACTGGAACTTTCAACTTTGGAAAGTTGCAAACAAGCTGTATTCCCACAAGCTGTATTGGATACAAACTAAGGGTCTAGATGGATTTGAAATTAATTGTGGAATTAACTATAATAATCCTTCTTGTGAGAAAATGTTTTTGTTTTGAATTGTCTTTAAAAAAAAACCTTGACAGAATGGGACTTTGAAATTGGCTACTAGAGGGAATCAGAAGGAACTAAATACTAAAATTACAGCAGAAGAATACTTAAATTTTAATCATTTTAAATTTTAATACAGAATGGAACAAGATATTTTAACATTGGAATACTAAGGGCTATTCATGAACAATGGATCCAGAGTTTAATTTTAAGGGTGTCTGCCTCTTCACAAACAGTGTATTTAAGATGTTATGAAAAAAGGACAGGTTTTATCAGACAAGACTGAGACTGACCTAAACTAGGTTTAAAAATTAAAATTAAAATGATTTTTTTTAATTAAAAATGACAGGCTACAAAAATGATATGGAAAAACATGAGATTGAGCATTCAAATGAAACTGGCTAAACACTATAAAAAATATACAAAATACAAACCAAAACAATGGTTTGGATACTTTCCTATATTGAATTTACAAATAAGACTTGTTAAAATTTGAAGAATTTTATTAGAAGGAAAAAGAAAGAAAAAATGAAAACAAATCAAACTCAAAGTCGTTATTTGAATGGACTAAAGATCAAGATTATTCAACATAAAAGGAAAGAACATAAAGTTGATTTATATGATCAAAGTTAAAATAGGCATGTTGTTATCTCTGGTAATACTTAACAGAGTTTTGAGGATCAGAATTCAACAACAAGGTTTTTAAAGTTAGTTTATAGATAAGAGATGGGGTACCGGAAGAATCATTTGTTGTATTTTAAGAGAAAGTGCTAAGTTATTAAATTGTTCATGTTTGTTGTGATGAAGGAGGAAGTAATTTCATTATATATTTTCTTTACAATATTCTTATTTTTCTTTTTATTTCAAATTTTTGTCCTATTTTTTTCTTTTCTGAACTTTCTGTTTTTATTCTTTTTTACGTTTGCATTAGTTTCTACTTTTTAGTTGTAATTTTTAATAAAACTACATAAAAAACAAATGCTCTTTCTTACCTTGCATACTCTTCACGAGCTCTGGAAGCTGCTGTTTCCTGGAAAAGTGAACTATTCTGTTGGAAAAACTTATCATATTTGATAGAATCAGAATCAGGATATATTCGGCGATAACCTCCTGTGTTGTTTTCTTCATAGACCTCTGCTTGCTGAAGCCACACAGCCTGGCAGTTCTTAAATTCCTCGGCTCTGACAAAACCACCCCAAAAAAAAAACCTGTTAAAACTTCAGAGTGGGAGTTTTTTCCATCTCAATTTTCTGCTGTCCAAGTCATATTCAGTTAGCTCCATGCATGCTGGACTAAAAAAATTTACTTTAGCTTTTAAGCATGTAAATATGCAAAATATCTTCTGATCTTTTTGCTTTTGCTTACTAGACAGAAATTTCTTGGTCGCAGAGGTGGATAGTTAGCCTCACCCTCTCCACCTTTTCCCTTCCAGGGGAAAACAAGGCCAGGAAAGGCATAACTTAACAAGTTCCTTCACAAGACACCGAAAGTAGCATGGATGAAAGGAAAAATAAATGCTGCCGGGTCTGTGGCAGAAATTTACACAACTATTTCCGTTTTTCTTTTTAAGCTTAAAGGGGACCTTTTAAAAAAGATAACATTTTGTATCTTTTCTTTTTTAGTAAAACAGAAGCCCCAACAGGACTCAAATATATTTTATGTGCATTCCAGATAAATATATAAGTTTATCACACTGTTAAAAATATGATTGTAAATGTATATTTGATTGTGCAATTTTTTTTAATATACATGATTGATAAGAAATTAGGTATTAAGAATTAATGGAAAGGAAACTGCCTAAATTTTCTTTATTGGAATTATGGCGGTCATATAATGGGGGTGGTTGTGTAATTTCTTAGATTTTTTAGCTTTATCAGTAAACATTTACCTGCAAATCAATTTCTGTTAAAATGTTTACTAATATAATTTGGCCCAGATGCACTGATAGCATCTGAAATATATCATCACAACAATTTTTTAAATTCCAAATTTGATAATAATTTGGGAATGTGCTTTGGATGGTTTTGAGAGTATAGTTTAAATAATTAAGGAGCGTCATTAAGGTGAATATTACTACCTCTAAGGGCTTTGAAACAAAGAACTAAATATCCCATATTAAGAAATCAATAGCCAAAATACTAAAGTATAGTAAATATATTCATTAAAATCTTAAAATAAGGTTAATTCAATAAAAACTTTTTTTACATTTACTGAATGACTTAGAACTTTTAAACATATAAACATGTCTATTATTTTTTTGAAGTATAAAATGAGCAAGGATCACTTTCCATTATGATAAAAGCTTGATACACTACTACTGCTTTATTTAAAAATTATCTGAAACTTTGCTCATTTATTATTGTGATAATCAAAAGTATAACTGGGTAAATACATTTCGGAATTAGGTCCAAAAAGTTGTAATTATGATTACATGAAGAATTGTGGCACAAAGATAGCAAAAAATATTACTTTTCAAAAGTTATTATTTTCAATGCTAAAATCTGGACTACCAATATCCCCTTGTTCTTTATGAACTGCCTCTTTATTGTTATAATGAAAAAACTAATATCATTTTGTTTGATCAAGCTTGAATTATGTATTTAAAAATTACATTGAATGATTTCATATATGTATATTTTTTTCTGTCCTTTTTTATCTGCTTGTTTTCTGTTTTTTTCTTTTTCTCTCTGTCTTCTCTTTTTCTTTCTTTTTTCATATATTAAAATAATATATAAATAAAAGGAGTTCCAGTATGCACAGTTCTATAGAACCTAGTTTTGGGGTACTTTGAACCCTGCAGAATTCTGCAAATTTTAGAGAAATAGTGAGTTTCCTCCTGTTTTGCTCCACTGTTATGTATAAGGTGGAACATTCCACTTTTCAGGTGCACCTGAGCACAGAGTAGCGAACTAAGGGGAAGCATGCCTAGAGAAAGGTGAGGCCAGAACAACAGTAAATACAATTTAATTTTAATTTGATTCAGTACAATTAACATAATTATTTTCCGTATACTTAATCATGTTCTTCTGCCACATTAAAAGCTCAGTTAGGTGGGATGTTTTCCAGGAAATCAAAGGCTGAAGCTGCAGCTATAGAGACTGCACTTCTACTTTTATGGGTAATGCAAAAGTCCCTTAAATTCCAAAAAAAGAAAGAAAGAAAGAAAGAAAGATAGGCACAAAAAAGGGCAATGTTTGTACAATTTTACAGTATGTCTGAATGGCTAAATAAAGGATTCATTTCTGCCTACCTATTCATATTCCAATGCAGTAGAATTTTGCTTGAATTTTAATTACTAATGTTTTCAGTTGCAATGTGTAATTTATTTTTAATCCTGTACATTTTATAACCTCATCTAAAATTGAAGCACAGCAACAATTATGGCCTGGCTGTCCTGTTAAGGGTGTGACCAACATACACTCCACAAAACATACATGAATAAATTTCTTCTTATATTTATCCTTTAAACAAATTAAAATAACTTACTTTAAATTCCCTTCCATCTTATCTGATGCTACAACAATCATCTTGCTAATTCATGCTGATCAGACTATATACCGTATACACAACGGAATTTTATTTTATTTTTTATTTTAAAACATATATAGTATCTGTTTGACAGGGCTACTAATTAAATTGAAAACTGCATGTAAATACAGAAATTTCAAGTTCTGAAAGCCAGAGTGATGGAAATTTATGCTATTTAGAGGTGCTTTGCAAGTGGATCATAAATGTCCATTGCCACATTGCCATCCCAGAAAATGGATTAAAAATTTCACACCTGGCTTCACGATTACGACATTGCTTGAGAAGCCTTTCTTTTCCTCGCCGTTTCTCTACTTCCAAGATTTTGCGCTTATCACATACTCCTAGGTTGATCAATACCAGAGTGTCATATAACAGTTGGTCTTTTACTTCTTTATCCAGCCATGAATCCGTACTGAAGCTTGGAGAATGATTCACCTACCACCACAGAAATTGAATGTATTTGTAGCTGCTGCAGTTTTGCAATTAAAAAAAGCAAGTGTTTTGGGGAGGACAGAAGAGAAAGAAAAGCTTCTAGTGTTTATGACAGCAACTGGGTTGTGATACCTTCCAAGTGTTTGCAATTATCATCTATAATAATCAAACTGCATTTCTGGGCATACACAGATTCAAATATTAATAAATATTTTCCCTAAGTGTTGACTTTACTTATTACATGCACATCTGCCTCTGTGTTAAGGAGAGTTGTAGGATCTTTCTCTGTGGCCCTTGCTCATTATGAGGAAAATTAAGCCAACACTGGAGAATTTTGAACTGGAAAAGTAACAGCCTTTGCTGGGACTTTCATGAACCAGTAGATCCTTTTTATAATTAATTTTTTACACTGGTATAGGATAATACAATTTTAATATAAAAACCTGGAAGCAGAACCTATATAAAATATTTATATGTTTGGAAAGGCTATTAGATAATAGTAATTTACATGTGAATTCATGATATAAAACGTTTGGTATTGATCTCAGTCGTGGCACAGTGTTATTTACCATAAATATTAACAATACAATTATATAAATTTGCATGTGTAATAGATAGTATTATTTTCTTGCCTTTATTTCTTTCTAATACTGATATCATACTAATTTGTACTGTGAAAGGTCAGCAAACTAAATATATAAAGCACAAGAAATATGTATTACATTACTGAAATTGATAAGCAATAGGTTCAAACTAAAGAGAAATATTTCAGTGCACAAAGTTTCACCAGTCTCAGAAAATCCCACTGCTGGACTTTTAGATAGATCCAAACAACCAAGAGGATAACTTGTATTTTAAGCAATAATTTTCTTCCGAAATTATCAGGTATAGAGCATTAAAAATAATTATTAACTATCATCCTCAAGCCTGGCATAGAATGTGACCGGTTATACTATGAGGAGGGAGGAAAAGATAGTTAGCTAGATAAATTATTGCTCTAAGTCTTCTAGCAGATTTTTTTTTGTACAATCGATTGAGTCTTCCCAAGTAATTCCCAAACACAAGATTGTTGTTTAATTTTAAAGCAACATTCTCAATTGTCTAATGCCCTCTGCTGGTAATCTATGTGATTTGAAGTATTGCCACAAGGCACCCATTGTTGAAGCAGAGGTAGAAAAGGAAGAATTTAGAGTAGAGCTTGAGAAAAACATGGGAGAGTAGAAGTTGTCTTAACTCTAAATGAGAGAAAGAGGAGTAGACATTCTGAATCCAAGAATCCTTCCAGTGGATAATTCTTGGAGCTACAAATTAGAAAATACAGCAGAGTTCACAATAAGAAATATTAAGCAGAAGTGGCTGGGAAAATAGTGAGTTGCAAATATTTTTTAAAATTCCATGAATAAGAAAGGCAATCGTCTAAAAGTTTTCTGTGGAAGCAGGGAGATCTATTTATTTCAAAAGAAGGTACATACCTCAAGCAACCATGGTTTGAGTTTTCGATCCAGCAAAATATCAAATCCCAGGATCTCAAAACAAGCACTCCACATGGTGTGGTTGGGAAAGCAAGTAAGGTAATTATGCTTGAGGACAGCATGAGCTGAAATCAATGTTTTAATAACAACATCTTCAATATCCTTCCATATTTGCCTTGTATCATAACCATTTTGCTCCATGTACTTATTAAAGGTAGACAGCTTCCTGTAAGGGGATGGAATAAGAACATAAGACAATATATTTGTGCAATTCACTCTTCTCTTCCACTTTTTAATTAGTCTCAAATTAAATCTATCTTCTTAGTGCTATGCAAACCTTTTTATTTCAAATACATGAATCTAGACTAGAATAATAAGCAATATAGCATAGCTCTTATAATAACTAATATAAATTAACACTTAGAAATTACTTGATTCACATATTGTGTTATTCATGGATTTCTGAATAATCCACAATTGGCTGAATCCATTACCTCAGAGCAACGTGTAACTTCAGGACTAGTCTGGTATATAAAACAATCCCACAGCTGAAATTACCAACTAGATGAATGAGATACAGCATAGAATCATAGAATCAGAAGAGGCCTTGGAGGTCTTCTAATCCAATCCCCTACTCAGGGCAGGAATCCTTAAACCATCTCATACAAGTACAGTACCTGTAAAATCTTTGTTTTGAAAATTTCTAGCAATGCAATTTCTCTATGAGGCAGTCTGCTCTATTGTTTAATAACTCTTGTAATCTCTTTGGAAAGTTGTCTTTGAGTTTGAACTTCTTGATATAGTTTCTACCCATTAATTCTTGCCCAACTCTCAAGTACTACAGATAATAAATCCAGATCCTTTCCTCTGTGATAGGATGATGTGACAGTATTAGAAGATGTTATCATCTTTCAAATTAGCAAGTTTGGGAACTGCTAAATAGATTTTTACATGTACACTTCGTGGCTTTTGCCCACTGTGAATACAGAGACCTACAGTATCACACACACGTAAACTTCCCCTCTGCGCACAGCCCAATGTACTCCTGAGGACGTTATGACCATGCAACAGAATGCAATCAATGTTGCATGCTTCTGGGCAAAAATACCAAACTAGGGTTTTATACGTTTTAAATAATATTTTTATGTTTGAATTTATACCTATGCATAAAACCTTAAAATGATGCTTCTGACACAAATAAATAAATAATAAATCAAGAAGGAGGCTAGATCCAATTTATCAGATGCCATTCTGAAGCCTTGGTATCTTCATCCAGAGCATTCTTCATCCTTCATCTAGAGGATTCCCACAATAGTCTAATCTCTTTGCAAAAAGCAATAAGATTGTCTGGCACAACCTATTTTATAATAAACCCATATTGGCTTCCAGTAATCACCTTTTTCTTTCCTAAGTACTTGCAAACCCAGTGCTTGGTTATCTTTTCTATGATTTTTCTAGGTATTGATGTCAAGCTGATTGGTCCGTTACCTGGGTCCATTCCCCCCCCCCCCTTTTAAAAACATATTGGAGCGACAATAGTTCTTCTTTACCTTATGGCACTTCCCCTAGGCTCCAAGAATTCTAAAAGATTATAGTGAGTCAGTCGTCTGGGGAAGAAATGGGAGATCGAAGATGGCTTTGCAAAAAGCAGAGTCAACAACTGTTTGCTAAGAAAGCTGATTTGTTCCTTAGATCCTCTCTGGAGAGAGGATGTCAAATTGTCCACGCTGAGTTCCATATGATTGCTCATGAAGAACACTCAAGTCATACTTCCTTTGCTAATCACTTTTGGAAATTATCTATTAACTGTTTTAAAGAACTTTGAAAGAACTTTAAAATGACAAAACTGGAAACAATGCCTTCAATTCTTAATATAAGAAAATGAAATCGTACTTCTATAAGCTTAAGAATTCAAAATAAAGAAAGGTATTGGTTACAGAAAACTTTAAATGGATTAAAGGGCTCAGAAAATGTTGGAATATTTTATTTGGAATATTAAGATTTTGAAATTAATCTTAAAGGATAAATGCATTTTCATGGAAAACAAAGACTGTTTTGATATTAGAGACATATTAAGATAAGTGATTTATAATGATGTTCAGAGATATTTTTGAGGAATGGCATTGTCATCTTAAATCAATAATGTCAGCTGTGTTCTTATGAACAGTCTGTTCCCAGAAAAAGCTGTTACAGAAAAGGATATGGAACAAAAAAAAATATCTGAAATGACTGTTTTGGAAAACAATATGAACAAGAATTTGTTTGGACTGGTAAGACATTGTATATTGAACTTGCTTACAGTTAAGAGCTGAAATATGCTATGGTGAGTCTAATATTCTTATTTTAGGGTTCTGTTTGGACTTTTGCTGTTACCTAGATTGCAAAAGATGTTGCTTATTGGACTTGTCTATAGTTAATAATTGAGCTATGGGATGAAGAGTTTTATATCTGTTAATTAAAAGATAATGAAACTGGTTATATACAATAAAGGTACAAAGTTGTTTGGTTTTTTTTCTTTCTTTTTTCCTCTTTTTCTAACTTCCTTGCATCTTTTATTTTCTCTATTTTTCTTTTTAGTTTGTATTATCTTTTATTATTGCAGTTAATTTTAATAAACTATTATTAAAAATATTATAATCTATTAATTCCCATCTATCAATTTCCTTAGTATATTGGGATGTAATCCATCTGATCCTGCAACCTGAATTGATCAAATAAACTAGGTGTTTTCTTATCATTGCCTGCATTTCTCTTCTGCCACTTTTGAGATATGGCTTCTTTGTTTTGTGAAAAGACAGATGCAGAATAACAATTAATAGTTCCTCTTGTCCAGGGGTGAAATGCTCCCGGTCGGACCGGATCAACTGATCTGGTAGCGATGGCGGCAGGTGGTTCGGAGAACCAGTAGCAAAAATCCCTGCAGTCACCCCCCATGCCCAGCTGAGCCACGCGATCATCAGAGACATTTTTTTACTTTTAAAAGCATTTTTTCTACAACCTCTTCAGCCGAAGAGGTTGCCTTTAAAAGCCTCTGGCGATCCCAGCTGAGTTGCCTGATCGTCAGAGGCTTCTAAAAGCATTTTTTTCTGCAACCTCTTCAGCCAAAGAGGTTGTAGAAAAAATGCTTTTAAAAGTAAAAAAAAAAAAAAAATTGGCCACGCCCACCCCACCAAGCCACACCCACAGAACTGGTAGTAACAAATTTTAGATTTTACCCCTGCTTTTGTCCCCATTTTGTGACCTGCTCCAACAACTGGGGCCATTTCTTGGACTTTTTTTTTATTCTTCATATACCCAAATAACACTGTTGTTGTTATTTTTGGCATTCACTGAAGATCTCAGCTCATTCTGAATTTTGACCTTCCTCATTCCATTCTTACAGATTTGTGCTGATTTCTAATATTTTGCTTTTGATATTTGATATTAGAAATGTGTCCTTTTTTCCTTAGTTTATTAAAAAGTTTTTCACATAATCATAGTGGTCTCATTTCTCATTTTAATTTGTTTAATATTATTGTTTTGGCCTTTCTCAAGCTTCCTGATTTTCCTTTTAGGATTTTTATCCATGGAATTCTTCCTAATTTTCCCTTAGCTTATTGATGTCAGTTCTTTTGAAATGTAGAACAATATAGTGAATTCTAGGATCATACAGTTACTCTCTTTCACAATTTGTACAATTGCAGGAAATATTTTCTTACTATATCCAGCATAGTTGATCCACTAATATGCTGCTCCATTATTGCATGATGAAGGCTAATCCAATAGGCATTGCTTTAAAAATACATTGCATATCTCTGATCTAAAAACTTTTATACTTCACTGTTAACATTCCCTTTTTCCTAAATCAGGATCTTCCTTCTACTTTCTGGCCTGATTATAAATTTGAGTGAGAATCAAATTACTTCTTGAATATCTTGGCATTAGAGGTACCGGAATATCTGTTCTTCCTTGTTTATTGATCTGGCACACTGCAGATTCTGGTTTTGGACAGCAGCACTGCACTGCAGAAGCAAGCACTGCACTGCTCATACTTGACCCATTTACTGGAAAATCATGAGGATGCTATGGAAAACTATGCAAAGGAAGCCAAGTTTTTGCCGCAGTGGGTAGAACACTGCAGAAAAATAGGAGACAGCAAATTAAAACGTTGCAAGCGATCAACTGAAAGTCCAAGAACTCTGGTAGTGACCTAGATAGAGGAGAGAGAAAAATAGGAGGTGGCAGTAATGAGATCAAACTGACCATTCTGTATAAGATTTAAAGGAAAAAATAATAAAACAAGAGACAACAACCCAGCAGTTCCATTTCAATAAATTCATTTGTGCTTCCTTTAGGGGGGATAAATCTATGCTCCTCTCGCCTCCTCCAGACTCCCGCTGTTTCTCATCTGAGCTTTTTAAATGATTTACATCACCTAATGACAGAGAATGAGCCATGTGCCAGCTGAATTTGGAGAATTGTTTCTTAAACAAGTCTGAAATGGCTGTAAAGATTCATGAAAGTAAGCCTCCAGCATCCCCCAGCTAGGATTATGTTGGAAAACATTCTGTACCTCTTACTACCAGAATCTTCATCTCGTACAAAATTAGCGCTGTGCTTGTTAATTGAATAATTAGTCAGGTGCATGCAGACATTGTCCTGTAAATAATTAAACAACAAGCAGGTTATTAGACTAGGGAGATTTTAATCCCACTTATGTTCTAGTCTCAGGATTGGAGAGGCAGAGAATGGTGTGTGAAACACCCGTATTTTGTGGGAAGCTTAAACTGTCTGGCCTTTACATCTCCTTTCAGATGAGCAATAATTTATTTGATAATGGAATTTCAATAACATAAAAATTATTTTTAAAAAATTTTGTAGCATGAGGCAGTAAGATGAAACTTTTGTGTTCTAAATTCCTTGATAAAAATAAATTATTTAAGAAAGCAACATGAGATTTGTATAACTATAGATCTGAAAGGAACCCATATCTACCTAAGCACTTTTGTGACAAACTAAGATCACATATAAAACAAATAAGAAATATATATTAAAGAAAAATATACTGGTTTAAAGGCTGATGACTATTCCATGGTCTGCACTAAAATGAATAAAGAAAGATAAAATACTTTATTCATTCTGCATGATTCTCCAAAAAATGGTGAATCACAGCTTTCAGCAACCTGGCCAATAATAAAGGACTTTGGGAGATATAGTACAGGAACATCTGATTTATACATTCTGCAGCCTTACCTTGGTTATGGGATGTTAGTCTGTATCTCATAAAAACATCTATTAAAAAAACAACATTTGTACCCTTGCAGGGTTAAAAGTGTTTGGAGGCAGTGATTTGAAGTGGAGAAGTACAGACAAAAAAGGGTTAAGTGCTTTCTCCCTTGCATTGCTTCTCTTTTCCAAATTGAATCTGCCAAGTATTTGTCTTTTACAAAAATCAATTCTGAAGCAGAGATAGTTATCTAGGCTCAGAAGCAGAAAATGTAAAGTAAATTATAGGCCTTTACGTACACAATGGGTGTGCTAATTCAGTACTGGCACCACCATGGCATGTGACCATGACTTTGCAGACTTCTAGCTATTCAGTTGCTGTTGAAAAGAAAGACAACAACAATGCACTCCCCATCAATGGGAATTTATAACTAGTTCCTTTTGTTGGCTCCTATGGCTTCCCCTGTCCTCATAAGACAGCTTGACAGTAATTTTCCCATTGTTTGTTTGCTGTTTTGAAGGGCAGCTTTGCTGTGCTCTTAAATGTTGGCTAATTAACATAATCATAATCATCTTGATCATGAAAAGAAATATTTCCAGGTAAAAGCAAGTTTGGAGGGAACCACCAGGTAGTAGACGTTTTCAATGCATCTCCACTGGACAATAAAGCAAGCGCTTGCTATTCCAGGTGGGGAAGGTGAGGACACATGGAGGACAACAGAATCAGAAGCCTTTGCAAAGCAATAGCATACAAAATGGTAGGCACAGGCCCTGTCCCTTTTTAACCTGCATCACATGTACTGCACACATATGAAAGGGGCAGTTTCAATGATCCCATTGCACCTGACAATTTAACAAAAGGTGACACTTCCATGTTTGGATACTCCTTTACATAGTAGTATGGGGAAAAAATGATAGTTTGCAATGTGTTTTTGTGCGTGAAATCAGCAGATTTAATCTTCACTGAAATTAGAGGAATATCTCAGTCATATTTAAGGAGACCATTGCCAACACTTGTCAATCCACCAGTGTGAGAAATATATCAGTATAATTCAGTAGTAAAGGTTCCTCTGTTCTAGTGACATTTAAATATTAATTTTGGTGAAATATTGAGACATCCCTCCCAAAAAAGTGATGGGCTCAAATTGAAATCCACTGATGTTTTAGTATGACTACTTATGTCAACAGAATTCAGCCTTTTGACTCACCAAATTACTTTGTGATGGGTCTGAATACGTAGATGTTGCAAAACGTGCAAGTCCCTCCTCATAAACAAATACTCGTAGTGGATCACATGATGTCACCAACACATAAATCCGAAGATCAAATTTGAAACCATCAATAATAAATGGCTTGAAAAAAGAAAATTAGTTTTCAATTAAATATCTACAAATAGAGTTTCATCTAGAAAAATCATACACTGGGCAATATACATATTTCTGAGTTTTTGCTAACTGCTTATAGTCTAATAAAAATCAATTCAGACATACAGTGGGGCAAAAAAGTATTTAGTCAGCCACCAATTGTGCAAGTTCTCCCACTTAAAAAGATGAGAGAGGCCTGTAATTGTCATCATAGGTCGACCTCAACTATGAGAGACAAAAAGAGAAAACAAATCCAGACAATCACATTGTCTGATTTGGAAAGAATTTATTTGCAAATTATGATGGAAAATAAGTATTTGGTCTCCTACAAACAAGCAAGATTACTGGCTCTCACAGACCTGTAACTTCTTCTTTAAGAGGCTCCTCTGTCCTCCACTCATTACCTGTATTAATGGCACCTGTTTGAACTTGTTATCAGTATAAAAGGCACCTGTCCACAACCTCAAACAGTCACACTCTAAACTCCACTATGGTGAAGACCAAAGAGCTGTCGAAGGACACCAGAAACAAAATTGTAGACCTGTACCAGGCTGGGAAGACTGAATCTGCAATAGGCAAGCAGCTTGGTGTGAAGAAATCAACTGTGGGAGCAATAATTAGAAAATGGAAGACATACAAGACCACTGATAATCTCCCTCGATCTGGGGCTCCATGCAAGATCTCACCCTGTGGGGTCAAAATGATCATAAGAACGGTGAGCAAAAGTCCCAGAACCACACGGGGGGACCTAGTGAATGACCTGCAGAGAGCTGGGACCAACGTAACAAAGGCTACCATCAGTAACACACTACGCCACTAGGGACTCGGATCCTGCAGTGCCAGACGTGTCCCCCTGCTTAATCCAGTACATGTCCGGGCTCATCTGAAGTTTGCTAGAGAGCATTTGGATGATCTAGAAGAGGATTGGGAGAATGTCATATGGTCAGATGAAACCAAAGTAGAACTGTTTGGTAGAAACACAACTCGTCGTGTTTGGAGGAGAGAGAATGCTGAGTTGCATCCAAAGAACACCATACCTACTGTGAAGCATGGGGATAGCAACATCATGCTTTGGGGCTGTTTCTCTGCTAAGGGACCAGGATGACCAATCCGTGTACAGGAAAGAATGAATGGGGCCATATATCGTGAGATTTTGAGTGCAAACCTCCTTCCATCAGCAAGGGCATTGAAGATGAAACGTGGCTGGGTCTTTCAGCATGACAATGATCCCAAACACACCGCCCGGACAACAAAGGAGTGGCTTCGTAAAAAGCATTTCAAGGTCCTGGAGTGGCATAGCCAGTCTCCAGATCTCAACCCCATAGAAAACCTTTGGAGGGAGTTGAAAGTCTGTGTTGCCCAGCGACAGCTCCAAAACATCACTGCTCTAGAGGAGACCTGCATGGAGGAATGGGCCAACATACCAGCAACAGTGTGTGCCAACCTTGTGAAGACTTACAGAAAACATTTGACCTCTGTCATTGCCAACAAAGGATATATAACAAAGTATTGAGATGAACTTTTGATATTGACCAAATACTTATTTTCCATCATAATTTGCAAATAAATTCTTTCCAAATCAGACAATGTGATTGTCTGGATTTGTTTTCTCATTTTGTCTCTCATAGTTGAGGTCTACCTATGATGACAATTATAGGCCTCTCTCATCTTTTTAAGTGGGAGAGCTTGCACAATTGGTGGCTGACTAAATACTTTTTTGCCCCACTGTAGTTTTTGATAAATGGAGGCCAAAAAGCTCTTTAATGTTTGAAATTACTAAGAATATATAGTACTCAATCTCATTCATGTAATGGGACTCATATAAGTATGTACTCAAAAAGTCAATGTAAGGCCATTCTCAATGAGTTCCTAAACTATAAAATCTCCATCTGTTGATAATGGTTAAAGCTCTTTTAAATTTTTTCTACAGGTATAGCAAAATAAATTGGGGAGGGCTATTATTGATTCATAGATCCAGATAGGCCTTATAAAGTCATCTAGTCAAACCTCTTGCCATACACAATCAGCTTTAACTGCATACCCAACAGAGGGCTATCTAAACCAGTTTTTTAAGAACTTGAGGAAGAGTGGCCCTACATTCTTCTGAGTTAGGAGGATGATCCACAGTTATAATATTACATGTAGCCATTAATTTCAGAAACATTTGCAAGATTTTTCTTCTAATATCATATAATATCTTCCCAATAGCCAATTGCCTTGGAGAAAAAGGAAATGGCATCAGATAGAAAAAAATAGCATGCTAGAAACAGAAATGAGTCTTCAGCTATTGTTAGCTTGGGTTCCACCCACTTATTTCAATTGACAATTAGATGCCCCAGAGATTGTTTTAACATTCAGTTAAAACAGAAAGTTATCCACCCTTGCTCCAGTGAAGTTGCCATGGTTGATCTGCCTTTGTTAGAATGAAATTTCTTACAGTACTGTTTCCTTAAAATCCATCTTCTGTATCTGAAGACCATTAAATTAAAATCTGCCCTATGGGTAACAGCAACAGATATTTGAATTGCACCTTTATGACCTCTCCAAGTATACACTCCTCCAGATCAAATATTCATTGCCATACCACAGTCTATACTGTGCTCAAATCATCCCCAACAATTCCTTACCCCATTCTGCCTTTACTTCATAAAACTTCCTCAGGTTCCAAGGGCCACCAGAGTAACAAAGTGCTATCACCCTGACAGGTCAAAGAACCAGGCAGCTCATGAGGGTTAGGTGCAGTGGTGAAATCTAAAATTTGTTACTATCGGTTCTGTGGGCATGGCTTGGTGGTGTGTGTGTGTGTGTGTGTGTGATGTGACTGGGTGGGTGTGGCCAATATTTTTTTTTTTATTTTTAAAACCATTTTTTCTACAACCTCTTCGGCGAAGAGGTTGTAAAAAAATGCTTTCAAAAGGCTCTGACGATCCCAGCTGAGTTGCCTGATCGGCAGAGGCTTTTTCTTTTTTTAAAAGCCTTTGACGATCCCAGCTGAGCTGCGCGATCATCAGAGGCTTTTTAAAAAACTTTTAAAAGCATTTTTCGGCTTTTTTACTTTTAAAAGCCTCTGATGATTGTGCGGCTCAGCTGGGCATGGGGGGCGGGCAGGGATTTTTGCTACCGGTTCTCCAAACCACCCGCCTCCATCGCTACCAGATCAGGTGATCTGGTCTGAACCAGGAGCATTTCATCCCTGGTTAGGTGTCAATTACAGTGAAGTTTCTCCTGCTTTTTCTTCATTCTGTGATCAAAGTTGTGGGAAGCAACAGGAAAATTCCAACCAATTCCAAATAAGCATATTCCAACCATGACTGACTTGCACCAAAAATATCAAATAATACAAATTCAGCCATGGTTATTCTAGTTCGTAATCTACTACTGTGGTAGTTATACTTGATTATGAATTCAATCTAAAATCAATTTTCTAACAAACTCTAAATTTACTTTGTAATGCAGAATATTTCAATGATCTGCCAGTTAATTTAGATTGGAACTTTGTAATCAATGTCATGGCTGACTTTTTCCAGGATTCTACGTCTCTCAATCTGTTGCCCAACTGGTTCACTTTAGCTATTTTCATTCTTGTGTCTCTAATCCCAGTAAGTTTCCCTACCTCTTCACCCACCTTCCCATGATTTCTGGATGCTTTCCCACAAACAACTCTTCTCATTTCAAGATGCTCCTTTAGGAGCTCTCACACTTTAATCCATGTAATTCTCTCTTACGGAAAAGATTTACTGATCATCAATGGTTTTTGACACACTGATTTTATTTTTCAGTAATAGACTGCTTTTGAATATCTGCCAGTTTTAATTAAAATGGCTAGAAAGACTCACAGCAATACAGGGAGCTTGTTTCAATATAAGAAGATCACCTTTGAGATATAGAGCTGGCAGATCATATCCTCCCCAGGTTTGATATCTTTTACAGTTTTTGTGATGTAAATGCCTTTGCCTTGACAACCAGAGTCTGGTTTACAGATGTAGGTTTTATGTTTTTTTGATCTCCCAAAGGCCTGCAATTCACCATAGCTGAGACCAATGAAAAGAAAAAGAAAAACATGCTGTTTAAAACATATACAGTAGCCCAAGAACGCTCCAAACTGCTAGCCTAAAACTTTAGACATCTTGATAGGAAATTATGGGAACTGAAATCCAGTATGGGATAATATTCAGTTGGGAAGGCTGCTTTTCAAAGTCAGACCCATGGGGAGAGGAGAGACAGAATTTTCAGTAATAATTAGGGCCCCTAGTAGAGTGGTTTGAATTTTAAGAGAGACTTCTATACTTTTTTTATAAAACTATTTAGGCCAAATTTATCTGCCCATGTTCATCTTCTAAACTTTTATAATGAAAAAGAGAAACTAAATAAGAAAAAAAAATAGGAGATGAGTTTTATAAAGACTCACTCAGCAGGAAGACACCAAGTCTTGGGAAAGAAGTTAAATTCCTTGGGGTAAAGCTTTAACATTCTGCTCATATTCCTGGCTAGAAGGTCCTTCCTACAGATTTCTGTCATTCCAGGGAAATGATTTATTTTCTAAAAATGGGATCAAAGGTAAATACTCAGTACAACCCAAACCTTGACATCTTTTTTCACAAATAAAAACATAGATTCTTTACCTCCATCTCAGGGTATTAGTAAATACCTGATAACTTTTCATCTCCATTACCCGATCCAGAGACACAGAATAATCTGTCCAATACAAGGTCCAGTCATCCATCTCGGTTGCTTCCCGAAGCCCACACATTTTGGCAGCCCGACGTACTGTGTGATAGGAAGAGAGACAGAATCACATCAGTTTCATATAGAAATATTAGGGAGAAGAAATGAAAGAACAAGTTCCATTCAGAGGGTACATCATAATTTAATTACAATAGCTAAACTATGTATTTTAATTTCAAGGAAAAATATACCAGATTATTGTTGGTTTAACATAAATTTGTGCCAAACTCCAGTTGGTGAGCTTGTTAGACTTCCTTTACACACTTATCTTTAAATTGCTAGTCTTACATTAGACAATATGAGACAGCTTTAGAAAATATGTAAAATTAGGAATTATAAGAAAGAAAAAAATGAGGTGAATGTATGAATACTGAAGATGAATGTTAGATTCCAAACAATACTTTCAGTTGTTAAGTGTAAATATCTTTTTTACTTTTTCAAACAAAAGCTTGAAAAAAGCTAAAAATTTCATTAATTTGGAAGTGCTTTCTAATCAAAATTGTGGGCTTTTTTCTCACTGAACCAACTGAGAAATATATTCAGCCTCATAATTATAGATTATACTTACCACTCTCATATTTACAGTTGGTCAGATTTATCACTGGTCATCTGGAAAAGATAAAAAGAAGAAAAAAGACAGAGGCAGACAAGCAAAACCAATGCACAACTTACTGCAAAATATTTAAGAACCTTCTGGATCCTGCAACGCCAGTCCCAAAGTTGCTTTTCAAAAGGCACCTGGACTTTCTTGTTTTTTTCCTTGAAAACATTTTGCTTCTCATCCAAGAAGCTTCTTCAGTTCTGACTGAATGGTAAGGAATGGACCTGGATGACTGAGAGTCTCCATAGACACTGGGATCAAGTACTATTGTAGAAAACTAAGTGAACTAAGAAAACTAAGCTCAGTGAAATCACACTTTGGTTAAGGATTTCCAGAAGGACTGGATTTCAGCTTATAATGCAACCTTAACAAAATAATTACCAAATGTTTAATTATCACCTAATGTATGAATCATTAAGCTTTTTAAAATTGTACTTAAAAGAGGGCTAATATACCTTCCCAAGCCTATACTCAGAAATATAAAGATGAGGTAAAATATTTGTAAGAGGGAATCAACAGGGAGATGTAAGATTTACAATGAACCGTAATCGGAATTTGTTCTGATTCTTTAGCAGGAATGTATCATTTAAACCTGAATCAAAATACATCATAATAGAATTTGGAAAAAATAACCAAAATTCCATTCTAACCAACACAAATCAAACCAAACACTAAATCAGCATTTGGATATGGATCTTGCCATGCTTTATGCAAATATACAGATTTTATCTTCGCTTTATGTTGTATGGTAGTCCAGGAAAGGCCTCACAAATCTGATATTTTAGTAAGTGTAGCATCTTCAGGATGTTTAAAACCAAAGTAATTAATTAAACGTTTTCAAGACTGAGAACATTGATCTTGCTCTTAAAAAAAGATTGTCTTTTGTCCCATGATTCTGCATTCTTACACAAGTAGAGCATCACTTGGTTCCCTTATCATCTACTGTATAATGTTTTACTTTTAAATATGTGTGCTTGTGAATCAGCAAGAGGAAAAATGAATGTCAGAGTCTCATACCTTTAAATGAGGGATCAGACTACAAATAGCATGCTTCATTGGACAGAGAGAGAGACCTAAAAACTTGCTTGGCCTGTAAAGGTATGCAGCAGGATTGTCAACTGTCAATCCCTGGCAGAACAGAAATGCTGTTTTACATACAGAATAGCCTGTATTTGTTTTATATTTTTTAAAATGATGAAAAAAGCTAAATTGTTATTATGCTATATGGAAGGCTCAAGAATCAAAAGAAGGTGCTAGAACAAAGTGACAGGAGAAGGCTGTAGTATTCATATTCTGCTTGTAACCTAGCAGAAGGTGTTTGTCTGAATCTTACTTAGATTAAATTCTTAAATTCAATTGCCAAGAATCTCAGAGGGAAGTCCTGTAAACTTAGTGACTCAATTCACACATGGTATCAGTCCAGTAGTGAAATGTAAAAGTTGTTATTACCGGTTCTGTGGCCATGGCTTCGTGGTGGTGGTGGTGGTGGTGTAATGTGACTGGGTGGGTGTGGCCAACTTTTTAAAAAAAAAACTTTTAAAAGCATTTTTTCTACAACCTCTTCAGCTGAAGAGGTTGTAAAAAAAATGCTTTTAAAAGGCCCTGACAATCCCAGCTGAGTTGCCTGATCGTCAGAAGCTTTTGTTTTCTTTTAAAAACATTTTTTTTTTTTGCTTTTAAAAGAAAAAAAAAGCCTCTGACGATCAGGCAACTCAGCTGGGATCGTCAGAGCCTTTTAAAAGCATTTTTTTCTACAACCTCTTTGGCCGAGGCTGTTTTTTTTTCCAGAGGCTTTTTTTTTTTTACTTTTAAAAGCATTTGTAGAAAAAATGCTTTTAAGAGAGAGAAAAAAAGCCTCTGATGATCGCGCGGCTCAGCTGGGCATGGAGGGTGGCAGGGATTTCTGCTACCGGTTCTCCGAACCACCCACCGCCATCGCTACCGGATCCGGTGATCCGGTCCGAACCAGGAGCATTTCACCCCTGTATCAGTCATGCATGTTCAACGGAAGTTTGTTCAATGAAGGAGAATTGGTTATGCTAAGCCAAAATCAAACAGGCCACACATTGTTAGTGTGTGACCAAGCAGCTATCTTTCATCCTTTTTATTTTAGAGTAAAAATGAAAGTGGGGGGGGGGATTTAGGATTTAATGAGATATATGTCATTTGGAAACACTGAGAACATTGGAGTGTGAAAGGAAAGTTAGAAATTATTTATTTATATATAAAATTTAGTAACCGCCCACCTTCAGAGTAAAATATAAATTATTTCACCTTTAAAGCGCTCCATAGCTTACGACCTGGATACCTACGAGACAGTCTTTTGCCACCAATAGCCTCCCACCGACCAGTTCGTTCTCACAGGGAGGGACTACTCAGGGTACCGTCAGTCAAATTATGCCGTCTGGCGACTCCCAGGGGGACGGCCTCCTCTGTGAGGGCTCCAACCCTTTGGAATGAACTGCCCCCTGAGATACGCAACATCCCTGATCTCCGTGCTTTCCGCCGTGCCCTCAAAACCCTGATGTTCCAACAGGCGGGGCTAAACATATGAACATGTGAATGTTTTTAAAATGTTATCTAATTTTAGGTTCTATTTAATTGGGCCAAACTATGTTATAATAATAATTTTAATTAGCAATTTTATGATGTTTGTGTATCTATATTTTTCTTGACTGTACACCGCCTTGAGTCCTACGGGAGAAAGGCGGTATAGAAATATAATAAATAAATAAATAAATAAATAAATAAATAAATAAATAAATAAATAAATTTAGTTCAACAATTTTCTTTCTCAATGCTTATTCACTATTTTTATCCCCTTTTAGTAAATAAAACCAGACTCGTTAAGCTTTCAGTGGTTATTTCTAACCTCTTTTTCTTCCTTTTTTTCTTGACAATAGCATTGGAACACGAATCATTTTTGCTGTTCTCTTCACACATCACCGTTTCCTGGTCAGTGGCATCCAGTATACTTTCCTCCATTTCCAGTCCACCTGGAAAGAAGTCAAGTTCAGACACATGCTTCTCACCCAACTCTTCAAACTCTTGTCTCTCTTTGTGAAATATATATTTTTGTCTCTCATCTGCTATCCTCATTCTGTCAGAAAAAGAAAGCAAATTTCATCTATCATTTGTGAATATTAATATACACCAATTTGTGAGTCTGAGCATTTATTTACTAAATAACTTAGAAAAGGAAATAACCTGCACTCCCTCTTTGCTACAGTTATTAATTGGATCAATTTCTCCAAGTATATTTTTGTTAGAAGGGCTGCCACCTTTGCTAAATGAAAAAACTTTTTGATTTTCAATCGCTTTATTAATTAACCTCTGTTTATAATGAATTTAACCCATTGTGTACGTCCAAGTTTTAAGCATCTATTTCAATACAGCTTCTTTTGCAGCTTAAGGTAAAGGTTCCCCTCGCACATATGTGCTAATCGTTCCCAACTCTAGGGGGCGGTGCTCATGTCCGTTTCCAAGCCGAAGAGCCAGCGCTGTCCAAAGATGTCTCCGTGGTCATGTGGCCGGCATGACTAAACACCAAAGCCACATGGAACGTTGTTACCTTCCCACCAAAGATGGTCCCTATTTTTTCTACTTACATTTTTTATGTGCTTTCGAACTGCTAGGTTGGCAGAAGCTGGGACAAGTAACAAGAGCTCACCCCGTTATGCGGCACTAGGGATTCGAACTGCTGAACTGCCGACCTTTCAATCAACAAGCTCAACATCTTAGCCACTGATCCACCACATCCCTTTAAATTTTAGAATACAATACTATACCCCAAAAGAACATCCTTTTTTATTGAATACCATCTCACTGCTGATAAGCAGAATAAGAGAACATTATTTGAAACTAGAATCTAAAAGGCTCAGGCTGTAAGTAAGTATGCAGAGTTCAAGGGAAAGTTACGATACAAGAAATCTTTATATGATTTCTTCTTTATATGAAATCGTTAACCCCATGAAGGGGTTAACATCTATTAAAGCCAATCAAATATATTATGTCATGCTACATAAAGTTAGACCCTTCTGAATAAAAAAAAAATAGGATGCAAGTTAGTTAACACTAACTTTCAAATAAATATTTGAATAATAAAATTGCTGGAAAAAACCCAGAGAAAAATAAACATAATAAATATATGTACGTACTATATCACCATAAAATGTATGTATGTCTGCATGTATATCTTATTGCATATAGTAAGTATATTGTTAAAGAATAACTGAAGTGGTACATTAATTTGGATTTCCAAAAGCTTAACATTTTTAACACCTAAGAATGTATAATTCTATTTATTTTTAAAAAGAGAAAAAATACATTTTATTTAGTTCTGGGGCTTTCTTTAGTATATTTAAAACTAACCTGATTCTCTGGCTCCAATCCTTAGAATGATTTTTAGACTCTTCCCAGATCTGTTCATAATGGAAGGAGTAAGTTGCGCTTGTCATCTTGATGTCTCTAAGCAAAATAAAAATCAAACACAGTGCAGTGCAGTGCAGTGCAGTGCAGTGCAGTGCAGTGCAGTGCAGTGCAATCTGATAAGATGGCAAACTATACTTAAAATACTTGATGTGTTTAACTGTAGATTATAATCACAGCAGAGTCTTGAATAAGTCAGAAGTTACTTCGGAGTGGTCTGTTATGGCAATGAATCAGTCCTTCCGTCACTAGGGAATGGTTTGTTTGTTTCATTCACAGTTGTCTGAGCATGTCTTTCTATGTATATGTACACAATTGCAAATGATAAAACTGTAGAGAGATTTTTTAACCCGTGACTCTCAAAGTATATTATTCTTTAGTAGAAATATATTTTTAATTTAAAAATTAGGTGTATTCATCATTTTCTGTAGTGGGATTTCTACAAATGCTGCTATATTATAAAAATAAATGCATGAAACAGTTAAGATAACAATGAAAAAATTCTACACATTCAACATTCATTAATACAATACAACTCAAAACAATATAACTCAAAATATGGCATTCAACGAATTTTCTTTTGAAAAAGAGTGATTTTGGTTCTCATTTTCACATATATATGGCAACAGCAAAAAAGCACAATGGGATTTTGGATTATTAAACTGTTCATTTTTCTCTCATATATTGTGCCATTTCCTAGTAGTTTCCATTTAGCTGATTACACACCAGCAAATAAAAATAATTTTGGATAATTGCTGTAACCAAGTTTACATTGGCGCATTAAAGGCATAACATGGCACATTGAAAGTTTCACTAGCAGAGCTCAAGTAAGATGGGACGCATATAAGAAGCTCTCATCTACAAGACAAATTTAGACTTTTGAGAAGGCTGTGGGATTTGTTAGAGAGCCCTACCATAGATGGACTACCTGGTCTAATGCCAGTTAAATTTTATTTGTGGATGACTTCTAACAAGATCAGGATAGAGGAAATGTGACTCGCCTAGTATTGCTTGCCCTGTTTGCAGCCATTGTCACCATTAGATCTGCTAGTATAGATTCTTTTGGTATCTCTTTTCTCAGAATGTGTGATCAAATGTGCACCTGCATCAAGAGAGGGGGAGGATTTGGTCCCTTCAGAGCTTTCCCAGAAAAAGACTGCTATCCGGAGCTGGATGGGGGAAAAGGGAAATGGTTCAGTGTAACCACACCCTAAAACAGGGGTCTGCAACATTAATTACTCAAAGAGCCATGTAGACCCATTTCCCACAGAAAAAAAAAACACTGGGAGCCACAAAATCTGGGTGGGCGTGGCCAACTCAATGTCACTCACTTCCACCAGTCACATGACCCCCTAGCCACCCCGACCCAGCAGGTCATTAGGGCGGAGAACCAGTTGTTAAAAAACACCGGGAAGCATAAAATCCTTTTAACATCTCTCCCTCTCCCCTCCCTCCCTCTCTCTGTCCCCCTCTCTCTAAATCTCTCTGTCTCTGCCCTGGCCGCTTCTCCATCCCCCACCATCGCCTTTACCTTCTCAGGTCAGGCGTGGAGTGACTGGGAGGGGAGGGCAAGGGGCGGGGACAGCCAGTGGTGGGATCACCTGACAGGGAGCCACAGCAGAGGGCCCAAAGAGCTGCATGTGGCTCCAGAGCCGCAGGTTGCTGACCCCTGCCCTAGAATCTCTCAGGAAATATCTGATAGCTTAAAAAGTTGGGCAAGATTCTACTAGGTGAAAGCAAATGAAGTACTGGACTCAGTTAGATCTCACCGTCTAGTCTCTGGGCTTGGGCCTAACACCAGTCTTCCCCCTCTGCAGCTGCAGGTGCACATTCCATAACAGAATGTCATCAACAGTTTCCTGCCCTCTTCTGTATAACAACATTCTCTAAGAAATTTGAATGGCCCTCCCTATTTTTTTAGGTGTTCCAAAAGTCCTTTGTTTCCTTGAACATTTGGATATCTGTACAATGTAGCTGATGTTCTGGGTATGTATGTATGTATGTTGTATACTGTATGTATACTGTATGTGTTTGAGTGATATGTGTATGTGTGTATCTCTATGTTTGTGTATGTGTGTGTTTGTATTATGTTGATTTTTAATGTAATATTTTTAAATATAATTACTCAGAAACGCATGCGGCTGGACAACAAATAGTATATGAGCCTAGTAAATACATAATAAATACATTTTATTCCTTTAACAAAATAAGCCAAAGTTGTTCATGCACAAGTTTTAAAGTGAAGTATGCTTAGTGTACAAAATCTAATATTTAATTTCACTAGTTTAATGAAAAAAATTGATTTGGGAAATAATAAAAGGGTTTAATAAAAGGGCCTGATGGCTCATCAGACTAAAAGCATTGTGATTAACACCAGCTGTCTGCAATTACTGTAAGTTCGAATTTCACCAGGCTCAAGGTTGACTCAGCCTTCCATCCTTTCTAAGATAGGTAAAATGAGGACCCAGTTTGTGGGGGTAATAAGCTGACTTTGTATAAATATACAAAAGTATGAAGGTTATTGCTTAATGCATTGTAAGCTGCCCTGAGTCTCCGGAGAAAGGTGGCATATAAATCAAATTAAAAAAAAAAAAAAAACCCTTTCATGAGGTATCATCCATGTGCAATTGCCAAAAAAACCCCCAAAACCTAGAATGGTTTCCCCAGCTACTTTACATTTATAGATTTCCCCATACATTCACAGAACTTAAAAGTAATTATTTAAAATATAGTTAACTATAGTTACCCGTACAATTAAATAAATGATTTCATGACAGCAACAATAGTAATAATGCTCCTTCGGGATAAAGCAGTAATCACATCAGCCACCTCTTTTTTTCTGTGGCTAATGAGTTTTTCTTATGTCCTGCTTTTCAAAAAAAAGGAAGAGTCACTGTAATTAACTGAGTTTAAGAAAATTGATGCTGAATGTGAATAGATTTAGGAAATTTTATTATTTAGGAAAAGAATATTTTAAAAGGTTATGAAACTATCTTTGGAAAAAAGAATGAACATGAGTTGGTAATATGAACAGAATAAATAATATAAGGGGAGATTTAATCCAGGTCGCTAAAGAGCTTTGAAGAGCAGTGTTTACACAATAAGCTTTGAGTAACTGAAATATGACTCATTGAATTAATCTAATTCCTAGAATTTGCATAATGTCTCAAATCATAAACCAACCATGTGAGGAGTCTCTGTGTAGGTTAAACTAAAATGTGTTTTGCAAAGTTACAACTCAATGTGAGCCTGCTGAAGAGACTGTTTGGAAAGAATACAATTTCATCCCAAGTAAAAAGAAAATATGTGAGATGGGGACAGAAAAGGTGGCATTATTTGCTGTATGTAGAATCGGTATGAAGGGAATGTGCCTTGTTTGCCAAATAAATATAAGCAAAGACCAAACTTTCTTGGTAGGCAGTAAGTAATAACATTGCAGAATCCTTTGCTTTCGGGATTGCAGAGAGTGGAAATAGAGGAGAAAATGGGGAGAAAGCTTAGACCTGCATTGCCTCTATTCCTCTGCACTCTGGGATGGGAGAGACCCCATTTTTCATTACTTCCAGCCAGTTTAGCCAAAAATCGCATTGTCTGAAAAGAGTGAGCATTTGTGTTATCCGAGCCAAATGGGGGGAACGTTTACTACTGTTTGGAGAGCGTGAGAAACGAATGAACTCACTGCCGAGTAGGTATGCATACTACGGATTTCTTATTTAGCATTTCGTGAATGCACATCTGATATTCATTGCAACCTAAGCCAGGGTCTGTGAGAGCAAACAAAGCAGCCAACATCCATAACTGCACGCCCTCCCGCCAATTAAAAGACGCCAAAAGGTCGGTGGGTTTTGGGGGCGGACGGAATGCAAAGGGTCTGGCTCTTTAAAGGGGCGTGGCCTCTAGCCCCACTTTTGTATCACCCTTTTTCTATGCATCCCTCTTTCACCTTTCCCGCATTCTCAGCCCAATTTGTACCGATCCCAGCCGTAAGCAATCGAATGTATTACTTGTCGCCTGCTGCAAGTCAATCGGAAGATTAACTGAATCCGAGACCTGAAAAACTCCTTCTGCTTAAATTCATTGGAAAGGAACAAAACATCCCGCTTTCTCATTGGTCCAAATTAAATCCCGGGATGCCTTTCTTTCTTTGTTTTAATTAGGTGACATCAAAGAGGAAATGTGGACGTGGAGAGAAAGGCTGGAGCAGAGATGGTTGTCATGGAGAAGATTCGAACAGCTGCCGGGAATACAAATCCCGAGAGCAAACGCGGCGGCTGCGCGCGCATTCTATTTCTCGTTTTTCTCTTTCCCATCGTTCCCCTAATGATTCAAACGCCCGATTCCAATTCTGAACGTGCGTACTTGTGGTTCCAAACGAATGTTCTCACGTGTTTTCTCCTTACCCATCCTCCCGGTGACGAGCAGTTGCTTTCTCCTTTCCCTTTAACTAATCACAGTTTGAAATGTAACAAATCATGGCTACCAGAGAACTGGCAAATTTGAATATTTGTAACTTACCAACCTTCCTCCCTCCTCGGGGACAAGAATTAATTATGATCTGCTGTTGCCTAGATTGGTCTATAGTAATTTTATAGGAGCTATCATGGTCTCATGATTCTTCGATAGTTAGTCTAACAAACCAAATGCTGGTTTTTAAAAACCCTTTATGGGCTAGCTAGGAGGTGCTCAGTAATATTTTTCTTTTCTCTCAATTGTCCAGGATACACATAGCAGGAATGCTAAATACTCTTATTATGCATGAAAAATGAGCAATCAAATAGTTCTTAACATCAGATCAATTATTTCTAAAAAACACACACGATTGGGAGATGTCAAGAATCAGCATTGTGGTTTAAATGCCTTGAATAAATGTTGCCGGTTTCACTTGTTCTCTGCTTATTTTGCCATTTGTTTAAAAAAATTAAAGCTGGACACTAATACTTAAATCAAATTGTAATGCATTATTGAATCAACTTCACAGATAATTCTATGTATTTTTAAAAAGTCTTACTTTTCAAAATGAAGCAGGCAGTGTCCAATATTTTAAAAATATCTATAGTAGTTTTTTAAAAAATAGTTTTAAAAAAGATTTTACTTTATAAACTTACTTGGAAGTAAATCTCATTGAAATTCAGATTAATTCTAAATAGGAATATTTTACTATTAATACAACCCATAATTTAAGATATAGCACAATTCAAATTTATTATAAATCTACATTTCTATATCATTTCTGTATCTGTATTAGATACAATCAGATATTGTATCCTAATGCTTTTCCTTATTTAACCAAAATTGGCTCATTTACATGCAGTAGATAACTATGATACTGATCTTTAGAGAACTAAGTTTGCAAGAGTATAAAAATCTTTAGGAAGAAAAAGAAACCTCACCAAATGGAACTCCCACCCTTCAGATAACAATAATATACCATAAAATCTCTCTGTACATATGGGTACATATACTCTAATGTAAAGTTATGAAAAGTATCAAATTGCCTAAGTATTTCCTGAATATGTGTTAATAATAACAATAAAGCAGTTTTATTAATTATTATTCTCCTCCTGGGCTTGGATGCTGCCGGAAAAACAACTCTTCTCTACAGGCTGAAGCTGAATGAAGAAACTTTCACCATCCCCACTGTGGGTTTTAATGTGGAGACAGTTCAGTCTTTCAGCAATGTGACTTTCACCATGTGGGATGTTGGTGGACAAGAGCGCATCCGGGCTCTATGGAAGCACTACCATACTAATACAGATGGGCTGATTTTCATGGTGGACAGTATGGACTATTATCGTTTTGAAGAAGCCAGGATGGAGTTGGAGTCATTACTGGAGGCTGATGATTTGCGAGGGGTGCCTTTGATGCTGCTAGCCAACAAACAAGATTTGCCTGAAGCACGACCTTCCATGGAAGTTGCAGAAAGGATGGGAGTGAGGAAAATATCTGGACGCAAATGGCGTATTCAGGGTTGCTCTGCTGTAAGTGGTGTGGGGATCCCTGAAGCTATGGAAAAACTATCTGAGATGGTCAAGGCATATCGCAAAACTAAGAGGTCCTTCTGAGTTCAACATATGAAGAACACAAGGCTTTCTCAACTTCTTTCTATGTGCAGCAGAGACTTGAAAAAAACCTCTTGAATCCCATTTACTCCTGATTCTTTTCATGGACCGTATGAAAAAACATTCTTGAACATTGAGACTGCTCTTTGAATACAGAGTACTCTGTTGGACTAAATACCAATTGGACTTTTAAAAAATGCAGTTTGCCATCTTCATCCTCATACTGAACCAAGTTGAGAATTCCAAGACTTGAATAATTGAGACTTTAGTATCAACATTGGAGATTTTTAAAAGAGAACAAGCTTATTCTGAATCACTAACGTGTTAATTCTTCTGCTGTGTTGAGATAATTCTAGTTGTATTAAGAATGTTGATGCCTTGCTTCATACCATATAAAAATTTATGTAACAATAAATAGATTGCATGTTAAAACTGGTATTTCTTCTTTGATGATTGGGTAAAATGTACCATTTATTCTCCACTTTTCTTAAATACTAAAATATTCCAAGCACAGCACTAAACTTTGTCTTGGGGGCGGGGAAACTTGCCACTCATTTTATGTTCCTTTGGTCTTAAGCATTTTACTGCTCTTAGTTCATGTGTTTATGGAAGATGCTGGTTATTTTGAAGGGGAGAGGGTTATCGTTTCCCTGATAAAAGTTCATAAATCTTTTAGCTTTATTCTTTAAAGCACACACACACCCCTTTTAGGGTTCTATGTGAGCCTAAAAGTATCATTACTTTAAGAATTGCATTAGCTTTATCTCATGGGTTCCTTAAAGGATCAGCATTTTTTTCAAGACCATATGGAAACCTGAAAAGTTAATTAGGAATGAGGTTCTGCATTTGTGCAAGGTCCAAAGGCTTTCCCTTAAATATTTTTGAAGTGTGCGTAGCCCTAATAAACAATATATATTAAAAAGACTGATGCTGGCTGATGAACACTGGCTATAACAGACCTATTTCAGTTTAGAAGCCTTGCTGACTTTATATAACCTTTTGCTAAGTTGCATACCTTTTTCAACCTGTTCTTAAATTGAAGTTCAATGCCTTCATTCCTCTTCCTCAAAACAATAGTGTTAAAAGAAAGCACCAGAAGGTTGAAATAGTAAGAGAAGTTGCAGAACCTGGAGGCAAAGTTAAAAGAGGGATTAGCCTAGAATTCTAGATAGGCTCTAGCAAAATTAGTATAACCCCCTTTAATCATCGGCTCTATCAGGTTAGTTAGAAAATTCTGCCTAGCTATGATTAACTTAGTTTAATTGAACCTTCCTGTAGACCTGATCTTTCACACATCTTTCTGGTGCAAGGCATTAGTGATCATTATAAAGTTAGTTACTTTTTAATACTTTCATTGTAGTCCATACTACTCCAGTTCTAAAAGTCACAGAGCATCAGAAAGAAATCTAGATGTGTAGGAAGTTGCTAGGTATTATTAAAACAGCTGGATTTATGTCTGATGAATTTCTTCTGTATATGGAATTGGGGGAATTGGGGGAATTGGGGGAAGCACTATCTTTCTTGTTGAGAGGCACCTGTATCAAGTGATGGAGAGAATTTACATTTGTTGATTGTTTGCCTGGACATATGGCTCTAAAGTTCCAAAGTAAGCCTGAAAAGGTAAGGCAAATGCAAGTAGGCAGGTAAGTGTGATTGGTAACACCATCATAGAACAGTGACCGGATCAAGTTTTTGCAGTTTACAGAGATGCTAAATTATTTATATTATAGGGAACTGCAGTTAGTTGGATTGTCTCAAAATGATGATAGCCATGCATTGTGGTTTGATGCAAACATCCTGACATTTAACAAAAGTGTTTAAGGGGACCATGATGCATGTTTCATCATTCATCTCTCTAGTAAAACCTATACAATTTCCTCATTTGTTTGAAGCATAGATAGAGATTGTGAGTCTTTAATGTCAACTATTAACTAAGCTTTTTAAATTAATATGCAAAATTTTATAAGTTCAATAGAGCTTGAATGAATTTGTTTGAGTTCAGTATGAGCAAGTAACGTACCATTTTTGAAAGAGTACTTGCATTTGGGAATGTAGGTTCACTGGTCCTGCCAAAATAGGCAAACATTTTTATAGAATACTGTAGCTCCCACGAGACAAGATGAGCTGAAATGTAATTTCTTTTATAACTAATCTTCTGCTTGCCTTCTTCTACATACCAAAGATAACAATGATCAATTTAGTTAGTTCCCTAAGCCAACCCTTTTCCCCAGATCAAATTTCATGTTTACTTAACATATTGCCATCAAACAGATCAGATTGATTCTTTGGGCTTTTAGCTTAAAGATCCATAAAAGACAAGGATGGCAGCTGTTCATTTTCAGACTTTTAACTGAAAGATCCATGAAAGAGAAAGATGGTAACTGTTCATTTTTGAGCCACCACTTTTTATTTAATAATTCCAGGATGTTGGCTTATATCAGCAAATAAAGTTATCCCAAGAATATACAATGATTTTTGGCATAGCAGATCAACAGAACTTCTTCATGGTTGTGCATTTTTCTTGCTTTACATAACTGATATCCAGAAGGGGGCGAAAAAGTTTCATTTCTGCAGGCTTAGAACAAAAAGTTATTTCTGTTTTGTTTTATTGAACGTACGCTGCTTGTAGTGACTGCTACATATACTGTTTAAATTTGCGCACACACTTAGCATACTTCTTGGCTAGTTAGTGTGATTTAGTATATTGTGTGAACCCGGACTATTTAATTAGTTTACAATTCACTACATTACATTATGGTTCATAATGTACATTCACTACATTATTATGGTTTTGGCAAATTAACCAAATTAAAGATGTGGTGTGAACTCAGCCATTCCCTTTGAAAAAAAGAGTATCTTAAAACAACCTGTTCCATAGTTAAACATAATTGTTGCCTCATTAAAATAATTCAAAACCCCATTGTTATGTATAACTATAATTAAATGCCAGTTTATTAAATGGAAGCATCAACTGGAGGTATTAAATATTTCTAAATTAGATTTTATTTAAAGTGTTTTCTGAGTTTCTAACCTTTGGAAGTTACTCTGCCAATGGACAAGGATACGTGGTGGGTTGCCCCTGGTTCGCACCTGTTCTATAGAACCGGTAGCAAAACTGGCAGGAGGCTCTGCCCACCAACCCCGATGTCATCAAAACAGTTCTGCTCTTGCACAGAAGAGCGTGTGTGGGAGCAAAGCGAGCGTGCGCGAGTGGCCCCGCTGCAAACCAGTAGTAAAGGTAAGTAGAACCCAACTCTGGATACAACCCATCATTCTTATCTATCTGTTATAAAAATCAGGTAATGGCACAGACACTATGAATTAATAGTGGGAGAAGGAAGGCATGCAGCCAGCTGCAAACTTCTCCTTCCTATAGGTTTCTCTCCTCTTTGCAAAAGCATTCAGCCAACGATAAATCTCACATTCCTGCAGGCCCCTCTCCTCTTTGCAAAACTGTTTTTGCAAAGAGCAGAGGGGCGGGAATCAGTGGTGAAATCTGAACCGATTTGTCACCGGTTCGCTGGCCGCGCACGCACATGCGTGCTGTATGCCAAACGTGCGCTGTGTGCACATGCACAGTGCAAACCAAAAGGAGGCTTGGGAAGATAAGTAGAACAGTGAGGGAGGGATCAGCTGTGCCGCGTGATAGTGATTCACTAGAAAGCAGGATTTCCTGCTTTCTAGCAATTTTCAATCATGCAGTACAGCTGATCATCGGAAATACCGATTCAGAGGAACCTGTAGATTTTTTTTACTACCGGTTCGCCTGAACTGGTAGTTTTTATCACTACTGGTTCACCTGAATCGGTGCGAACCAGTAGCATTTCATCACTGGCGTGAATGCAGGAATGTCCAACCTATTCTCCTTTCCTATTCCGACATCTTGAGCTCAGGAGATCTTCGAAAGATAAGTGCAATCAGTGACGGGTTGATGCGGAGAAGACCCAAGCAGCTGTGGGGACCCCAAAATGTGAAAAGTGGAGCATGGGATATTTCAGTGGGTGGGGAGAGGACTTGGGTGGCCAGAAGCAGGTGGTCTTGTTCCTTGCACTAGGCTCCCCTGGTTTTCCCCATTCCTGAGGTACCTCTTAAAGACATATTTGGGGGGAGCAGGGATGAGGGCTTATTTACTTAATGTGATTCACTTAATGTCCTCTTGACTTATGACCATTACAGTTGTAACTCGAGAACTACCTGTATTCTTTTTGGTAGGGAGAATGGTATATGACAACCCTGCAGAGTAGTATCATTCGGTCTCTTGGTATGTTAAGATCCACAGCTTCTGGTACTATGTGATTTTTGGGTGCGGGTAGATTATAAAAGTAATAAATCATTTTCAAATTATCCCATATCTCAGCAATCTCAAAATATAAAATGATAAATATTATTTTATACTTTTGAGGTTTCAGGTGGGAATAAGTACAGTATATAAACATCAGTTTGTTGTAGTGGTGAAGATGCTGGCCTAGAAACCAGGAGACTTGTGAGTTCTAGCCCTGCCTTAGACATGAAAGCCATCTGTGTAACTTTGGGCCAGTCATTCTCTCTTAGCCCAATCTACCTCGCAGGATTGTTGTTAGGGGGAAAATAAGAGGAGAGATATGATTTATGTAGGTAAACCACCTTGAGATATTAATAAAGTAACAAAGATGGGATATGTGTGTGTATAATGCAAAATTAGGGGCATGGTGGCCCAGTGGCTAAGATGCTGAGCTTATCAATCGAAAGGTTGACAGTTCAGTGGTTCAAACCCCTAGTGCTGCGTAATGGAGTGAGCTCCCGTTACTTGTCCCATCTTCTGCCAATCTAGCAGTTCGAAAGCACGTAAAAAATGCAAGTAGAAAAATAGTGACCACTTTGGTGGGAAGGTAACAACGTTCTGTGCATCTTTGACATTTAGTCATACTGGTCACATGACCACGGAGATGTCTTCAGACAGCGCTGGCCCTTCAGCTTTGAAACGGAGATGAGCACCGCCCCCTAGAGTCAGGAACGACTAGCACATATGTGTGAGGGAACCTTTACCTTTTTAGTGCAAAATTTGACAATTTGTGAGTTTTCCTGCATTTTTAAAGCTGTATTTTAAATCATGGGAAGAGCATAGAGATCCTATGGCAATATTATGCATGATATGGTGCCTTTGGGTATCTATAACTGATTAACTTTGAGTTACTGCAGGGATTGGCAAATGATGGCTTAGCAAGCTGCATGCGTTCAATGATGGGATAGCTCATTGGGTAGCTCTCCATATATTTTAAAGGACATTTGCCAGTACAGCAGGCAGCACAACTTCAGGTATCCTGGATGTAGTTCAGTAAATTTGGAAGATCACAACTTGTGCTTTATCACCTTGACTATAGAAACATGGTAAAATGCATTTTTGTATCAAAGAAACGCATTTTGGATTTATATCCACCTTTCATTCAGGAGTTCAAAGTGACATATGTAGTGCTCCTTCTCCAATTTTTCTCCAGAAAATCCCTAAAGAAAATTAGACTGAGAATCTCAGACCACCAGAGAGCACCTGTTGTGAAGGGTGGACCAGAACTTGGTGTCTGTTTCTAGTCCAACACCTTCACCACCATTTTCTGTGGCTAGATAGGGACAAGAAAATTCAATATAATTTTAATTTTTTTATAATTTTAATTACTTCTTCAACTCCACATTCTAGCTCACTGGTCCCCCAAATTGCACAAAGAACCCTTTTTAATGTTTAAACTTTTGTGGAATCCCATATGACACTAGCAGGACTTTCAGTATCTGCTGAGTAAAATAAAACAATAATAAAAACCTAATTCAGTTTTAATTTTAATCAATTTGAATTCAATTTATTTTTTACTAAACATAATTAAAGCACAGTCATTGCACAGGCAATGGAAGTTTCCTCATTATACAAAAGTTAATAATTTTGGGTGGGAGGTGCATATTGGTGAGGTTGGTGCTCAGATGAGACTTAAAAGGAAGCCAGTGGTATAACCTAAGGCAGTGAAGGTGAACCTTTTTGGCACCGAGTGCCCAAATTGGAATTTGCATATGCGTGAGCGTCATAAACCCAAAGATCAGCTGGCTGACGCGCATGTGAGTGTCGGCCACCTGGTCTTTGTGCATCCCGGAGTGCTGGAAATGCATGCTGGTCTTTGGATTTCCGGTGCTCTGGTACGCATGAAGACCAGCTGGCCAGTGCACATGTGCACACTGGAAACCAGTAGAGCAGCTGGCGATGGCGCGCATGTCCACAGGACCTAAGGGGTAAGGTGGGCGGAGTGTCTTACTTATGGAAGAAGAAAACTGAACAGGGGATTGTGACAGATGGGGTGCATGAGAACCTTGGTGGAGTAACAGAAGCTCTTGGGGCAGGGAATGCAGAACAAGGGAACATAAGAGAGCAATGGTGATAGTTGTGTTGTTATTAATAGGACAAAAAAACCCCAAAACCATGGGCAGTTCAGGATTGCAACTAGGCTGGAAAAATTACTCTTAACCAGCAGGAAGAAGGGAACTGGCCTTAATCAGCTGCGAATCTACCTCCTAAAACAGTTTAGTATTTATCTTCTTCCCTCTACTTCAACTCAGACAGTAAAGCATCTGTGGCTTATTTTATTCTCCATGTTTGATAAATATTGTAGACTCCTTGCAATAACTCTTGAGGACTCCCCCACTCAGAGTTTAGGATTAGTGATTCAACTAGTTGCATAATGATAGCAGGATCTGCTTTTTTGGGGGAAGAAACTGTTTATATTTGGTGTTTCCCAATAAACTAATTATGTATATTCCCAAATTTCATATTATTGTAGATTGGAAATTGCCCAAATGTGATGTGAGGATAAATAAATCAGACCTTTTCCAATTCTGTCACAGCTGATTGGGTGTGTGTGTGATGTGTGATTTTCTAACAAGATGTTGCAGTATTGGCTCTAACATTAGACAGGCGCTGGAACTAAGCAGTAGCTATTGCTAAAAATACAGAACTGGATATGTCAGGAATTGGTCTACTGCCATTTCATTTGTGTAAACCACTTTATATCTGTGCATGAGGAAAAATTCTACTGCAAATCCATTCAGCTTCTCTATATGAAACTAGGGAAATAAAATCTTGGGCATTACTTCAGGCAGCAAAATGCCGTAAGGCATCTTCATACAGCACATCTGTTACAATCTTTGTACAGCTCCTACAGTAGAAATCTCACCAAGGAAGACCAACAATTAGAGAGTATCCAGATAATAACTTTATTTTGGTAAAAGCAGCCAAGTGTGAAGAGAGCCAAAGTAAACTTGCAAGGAAGCTACAGAACTTCATCAAAAGAAACAGATGGCACATAGTACAAACAGAAAATATAAAGGAAGAAACTACTTTTGCAACTGATAAGACAGGATCTTTAATTGATTCCTGAGTGCAAACAGAGCATTTTCTGGAAACTACCCTAATCCTGTTTTTTTCTGGTATGCTTAATTATCTGAGTTAACATATTAAGTAGTAAAATGGTCTCAGTTTAGAACCAAAAACTAACTTTACTAGTAGAGGGTAGATATTTAGAATTCACTATATAGGATTCACTGGATACACATAGGCGTGTATCTCCATTCTGAAAAGAATTTGATATATTTTCAATAAGTAATCAATAAGTACTTGAAAAAGATAATCAAACACTTATTTAATTATCTAAATTGAATTAAACCGATTGCTTTATTTGGCCAAATGTGATTAGACAAACAAGGAATTTGTCTCCGGTACAGAAGCACTCAGTATATATGCAAAGCAAAATAATCATAATCATAATAATGCAAATAAAAGAGGGAATAAAGAAAATAATAAGGATAATAATACTACAGCCATGCTACATAGGTTAATATACATAGATATTAGATAGCACTGTGAGAGTAAGGTGTTTAGCAGAGTGATCTAAATTTTAAGTTTTCGGCATTGGAAAACATTTCCCCAATTTTTTAAAAAAGCAGCAATATAACTTAAAAGAGAAAGTGCTACTAAAATATTTTGTATGTAAGCAGCTTTTTTCTATTACAACATTCAGTCTTAAAAAGTAGAAAGTGCATAGTCAAACTAAAAAATAATATTGTGATTTCTCAAGAAAAAGAATTCCATGCATGTATTCTATTCTAATACAGTATTCTTAATTATATAATAAGTGTGGCCTTTTGACAATGTAGTCATAGAGAGAGAGAAAATTCAACAAAGCAGCACATTTCTCCATTATCATGAAGAGATTCTGGTTATAAGATAGTTGCAACTCCTTAATGCTTCAGGTATGATACTGCAGTTCAATCTGAAGGATTCAATAAACTGACTCTAAAGCCCTAAAAAGTATTACTATTTTGTTTTATTAAGAAAGGGCCTTTTTTGTTTAATTCTTTTTATACAATGACAAGACTGGTAAAAACTTGTCAGTGCCTTTATCAATCTCAATAACATTAAAAAAAATTGGGTTCAGTCTTCAGAAATTTTTCTGATTGATAGTGAGCTCCCTGACCCCAGACATGGAACATTTTTTTAAACTGGGAAGAATAATTGTTGCTTTGCCTAAACAGGCATAAAACAGAAGCAACGCAAGCAAAAGTGCAAATTTTATTCTTTACTATAGGCAGAACTAGAAATCACGAATGAAGGTGAATATACGTGTCCCAGGATAATATTGTAGGATCCAATCTGGGTCGTACAGAGGCACCAGAGGTTTTGTCTTTCAAACTTTCAGACTCATACTGGAGCCCATGTGCTAGAGATATTCTTCCTAGCAGAGCTAGAAATCTCTACTTATTATGAACATGATCCATTATTCATGGAAGATTTAGGGTGGGGGGGAAAGCATTCTTATTTTTAAATATAAGATTTAAATATGGGAAATTCTGCTTCCAAAGCAAAAGCATAATGTATTATTTAATTTAACACATGTATCACAAGAAACTTAAAGTAATCAGTACCTCAGGCTCAACAACAGACTTCAACCTGCTTTGTCAATTTTAGCATATTAAGTATCTATCCCTGCCAGATCACACAAAGGAGAGAAAAGGAAAGGAAAAAAGGCATTAGTGTAATATCTTAGATGATGCAAGCAGGTTTAAGCCTCCTCTAAGTGATGGCAAAAGACATGGTCATCATACACTTGCTTGTCAGAGCTGTCAAAGGTTTTATTGCAATACGGACAGTCGAGAATGTGATTTTGCACATGATCCGAATATTGTTGTTGTTCAATGTTATTAGGGAAGACTTCCTGGCATATGGGACACTTTTTCAGAGAGACCTGAAAGAAGACAATGGAAATGGGTTTTTTTTCCAAATTGCTTTGCAACTGCATGATATACAGTAAATTTCTGTTATGGGAATAGAAAAGCTTTGTTCTGTGGTATTCTGGCAAGTGATGGTAGCTAGCAAAGAAAAAAGAGATGGATACCTCAAAACAACAAGAGCAAAATGTTAAGTGACTAAGAACTCACAGCACTAATCTGCCTTTCCTTCAATTCTAAACAAGTCTGGTTTAAAGCACCAAAGGACTATTAAAGACAATGACTATAGCCAACAATTGCGGCTTCAATCACATATCCTTTTGCTATTTTCTCTGACTTCTTTTCACTGTGGCACTGTCTTTACTGTGTGGTTTCAGGTTTTTTTGCATTGTGCTCAATAATAAAAACATTAAAAGTGAGAACTCACCAGGTCCATTTCTGGTGGTGCTGTAAGACAAACCATAGTGAGAAAAATAAAACACTTTGACATTAATTTACATGAGGTAATGTTAATTAATGTTAATGTATAGCATCAGTGAAACTTCAAAATACTGTGTGATGGTAGAGAACAGTGATGTCAGGAATCAATCATGAAGTCTGTACTTTTGTAAGATCTGCCAATAATAATCTATTCCATTTTATTTGGATGTACAACTCAGAATCTACCAATGCTTAGTGACTGTTCAAAATTAGCACGGACACCCCACCCCCGGAAAAAGGTAGTTATAACCTGGTTTCAAAATTTCAGTGACTGCCCTTGCTTACAGTCTTGTGACCACATTTTGGGTGCTTGGCTATGGCTTGGATTTACAGCCATTTGCTGTAAATGGCTGTAAATCCACTTATGGTCAAGTGCCCACAATTTACGAAGTTTTTGCCAAAACCCATTGTTTGCTTCTGATTTTTGGCAAAAGCATCCCATAGTGAACCATGGATTCACTTAACAACTGCTACAAAAAAGGGACATAAAATTGGTTCAGTCACCTGATGACCAACTTTATGATCATCATGACTTATGTTAATAATGAGCAGGCTCCATTACGGTCATAAGTTGAGGACCACCTGAGCAATTACGTGTTTTTAAACAGGACAGCTAATTGAGTTTTCAATTAGCATACTTTTGCTGCTAGATTGAACCTCCCAACTGGATGTTGAAGGGCACTCACCAGAATATGAATTTCCAAACAAAAGCTCAGAGTTAGGTGGTGACCGGGATAGGAGTCCAGCAGATGAACTGCGTATTGCAGGGAGGCGTGCCCTCAACAGCTCATTTTCTTGCCATAATTTCTGTAAAAAAAAAAAAAAAAGCTAAGATGCAAAACCAGTAACTTTGGAACTTATGATATATAGATTATTGGGCCCAGAAACAGTTGTTTGCATCTGAAATACAGGAGCAAAATTCCCTGCTTGCACATGGAAGTTGGTTTCTCACCAGTCCCATAACAAAGTTCACAGTGGGAACATCCACACAAAGGTTTCCAACAGTTCAGAAGCAGCTGTAGATTTTTCTGACTTCGTTCAGCTGGTTGATTTCTAGGGAACTGGAAAAGTTTATTTTTGTTCAGTAGTGATTTGAAACCTGAGCAAAATTGGATGCCACCCTTTGCAATACTGTAGAACTTGTAAGCAGGCTCTTCTTCATACTTGAAACTTTTGCTTATCCCACCTCCTGCTATCAAAACTCACATTACTTTCTCTTGTCTCTTCCATCCTATAGCATCGTTGTCCTACTCCTAGAGTTTTGTCTACAGGTAAAATTTAGTATGCACTTGCCACTGAAGCAACATGCAAACCATAATTCTAACTAATGAGTAAAGTATCTGCCTACAAAAATGCTAAACACCATTATTTCACTTTTTACACTTTACACACAATACTGTAGAATACAGTGCACTGTACAGTAAAGGAACTTTCCTGGTCATAAGGACTATTTAGTTTTGTTTCAAATCATCAGACAAATAGACACAACATATATTGAAAATGTATATAGATATTAGGAACTGATTTTATTTCCCTTTGTATAGTGGGGATGTCACATATCTTCCTTGCTATGGGAGGATTTTATTATCTTCCTAGAAAATAACCTGGAAGGAGGTACCCCACATCCTTTGATTGGCAGATGATTGGAAAATAATCTGGAAGGAGGTATGCCACATCCTTTGATTGATGACACCATTCAATCATCCTGAGGTTTTTTCACAGGTCCATGATCTGTGTTAGCTCAAGGACATGGTGTATTATTTTTTTTGACCATGTCTTCTGTACAGTACAGATTGGCTCATAAAGTTCCCTGGGTTGCCAGCAATTCAAGAGGGATTGGGGAATAAAAGCTGGGTGGCACTGAAGTCCTCAATGTTGGAAATTCTGTATCAATCTATGAGAAAATAGTGTTTAATGGCAATTCAGAATATAAAGCTTTCATGCAAAAGCCAAAGCAGATTTTGGGGGGGGGGTGTTCTTTTTTTTTTTCCAAGGCCAGAGAACAACAAAATAATTTTTCCTAAAAGAAAGTGAGAGAGAGAGAGAGCAAGAGAGTGAGAGAGCAAGACATTTATGCAAAGGCAAGCTTTCAATGGCAAGTCTGATGCCAAGTGAAAAACATGCTTCAAACTCTGGGTTTGGAATAGGCCATAGCTAAGAAGTGCAGGTTGCTGGGAAGCTTCACACTACAAGTGAAGGCACTGGGTAGAGACCTGGCTACCAATTGTGTTGTCATCTGATGTTGACTGGCAGAGAGGAATATTAAAATGATGGCAGGGAAACTCTGTGAATTATTATTGTGTTTTCTGGAATTACAATGGATATGAGTTAACTATTCAACTATATTTTTTAGAAAATTGGATGATTAATCCACACTCTTTTAGGTTGTAAGTTTCCTGGTTTTGAAATATTGCAGTTATTTACAAACTTTCTTTCATGGGCAACCACATTCATAATTAATAATATCTTCCTCAAATACTCCTCTCATGGGAAAAGTCAGGGGCTCTTCCCCGTTGAGGCAAGCAAAAGTAGTGGTTTATCCAATCTGTCTTTGAAATGTTTTGGAATTAAAAATTCCAGAATTCCCAGCCACAAGGAGATTACAAAAAACTACCCCAAGCAACTTCTGTCTGTCCCTAATTGTACAATACTGCCTTCTGCACAATAATCCAACAGTAGCAACTCTCATCACTCCCCACATGACAAAGTTTGCACCTGATTTTCTTGCTCGAGGTCATCTTTTTGCTTCTTCAGGATTTGAAGTGCAAGTGTTTGTTCTTCCTGAAGGTTGTTCAACATTTTCTGAGAAAAGAAAAAAAGCTTAAAAAAATTAGAAGCCAAAGGCAAATGGTAAACATGTTTCCATTCCCCCCCCTCCCCCAATCCTTATTTCATACTTCTTCCACTACCGGTCGAACTCAGGGTTAAGATCCATTTAATTCTTAGAGCAGCCCTGTGGAGTAATGTAAGATTAGACTGAAAGACAACAGGGAGTGCAAGATCTTCTACTAAGTCTCAGGACTGGGAATTTAAATTAGGCATGCTCCATCTCTAGTTACTAGACAATCCAGCACTTCCAGAAAGATGATAGCATTCACACTGAGTGCCTAATCAAATCTCTATATAATTCTAAAGCACTGATAGGTGATTTTGTTGTTTTAGGCACAAATAAAATGGGTGAATTGGGAAACAGGGAGACATTAGAACTGGCCCAATTTAAAATATGCATCAAAATTCTGTAATAATAAGATTTATAAAATAAGTGAACAGGCACTTAGTTATGAAAGAAAAAAGAACTTTATAAAAGGACAAGTAGGTAGGTGGATGGATAGATTTTTTAAAAAACTGATTCAAGAGAAATGGACCACATAGTGTTTAGGACAAGCTTCAGCATAGGGCAAATAACAGAATGGCATGGCTATGGAGGGATATTTTTGCCCAAAACTGGAGCAAGAAGTTCATTAAAGGTTTTAATGGGGAGAAGAGAAAGAATAAAAGGACAGCATATACAGAGAGAGTCAGAACATGTGGCTTATCTTCCAAATGTAGCTCAAAGCATCTGTCTTAGTGCATTCCCATTTTTTCTCCTTGATTAGGCACTGAAGGAAAACAATGATAATGAACAGATTGGGAGCCTCAAATTAAAATGTTCACAGATGCTGAATGAGGACTAACTGGAAATCACCTAGGATGATATAACCTAAGACATTCTTCCCATTGTTCATGTCCTGCTTATATTTTTCTTATTGTTAAGCAAACAAATCCTTTTTTTCTTTCTTTCTTTCTTTCTTTCTTTCTTTCTTTCTTTCTTTCTTTTTTCTTTCTTTCTTTTTCTTTCTTTCTTTCTTTCTTTCTTTCTTTCTTTCTTTCTTTCTTTCGTTCTCTCTCTCTCTCTCTCTCTCCCTCCCTCCCTCCCTCTTTCTCTCTCCCTCCCTCTCTCTCTTTCTTCCTTTTTATACTTGTTTACTCTTAGCAGAAAGGGTTTGCTTGCTAACTCTTCCTCCCACTCTTGGCTCAATAGAAAAATCCTTATGGTAGAACTGTGAGCCTTCACCCTTGCCAATGCCTCCGTTCCTCCCTCAAGCAGCAAGTGCGTCAGCATTGTCTATCACAACCATCTCTCACTTCATAATCATAGTTAATCACGGAAATCTGCAAGGTTAGTTTATGGAAGGCCATTGCTGTCGTACTGTGCGCTTCAGAAAATGATTATTGTGTGGTGACTCTGAGTCCCTTGTAGACAAAACACCTTCTGGCTGCTTATTATCAGACAGTGGTGCCTGAAGTCTACAATGACAGAAAAATGCTGGGAAAGGGTCACGGTGACAGAGAAGGGATTTAGCAGCAAAGAGTTGTTTTCATTCTTACATGCCTTCCAAGGAAATTTCTCTCTGTGATTGGCTTTTTCTATGAAGGGAGAGGTGGTGTGATAAACTACAGTGAAGTTGCAGTTTCCCATGAAAAAGGGATAATAAAGTTTTTGCAGAGTTGGGAAAGCATGCATCAATCTGCAGCAGCTAGATTATCTGGATATAGGATCCCTATGGAGGGGCTGCTTCATTAGATTAATAAACTATGCTTTTTCTAGTGAAGAATACAAATTTAAAGTTATTTAAGGTTTCAAAGCTATATATCAAGAAGAGAAAAAACGTAGGAAAATTACCTGTCTAAACAAGGCAGCATTTAATTGATAATTCTCTCCCTTCAATTCTTCCAGGTCCATTACTTTATCTTTAATGCAATCCTGCAGGTTGTCCATCTCCTTCTGTTGCATGTGCACTTGTAACTAACAAAGAGGAGAGATGTGTATCAAGTCCCAAATGCAGATCAAGAAAAGGAACTATTAGGCAATCAGACTCAAAGTTAGTTTTAGGACAGTTCTGTAAAATTTCCAAATTTTATAATTATGAAATTATATAATTCCTGACAAATATGGAAGCTAAAAAACCTTAACCATTTTGGCAGATGTTTTGATTAATGAACTCAATGAGCTATTGAAAGAACTCAATAAATGATTGAGTTTTTTTCAATAGCTGAGGTGACTAGAAAATAAACAAAAATCTTCTGTATGTACATATTATTTAGAAATCCTCTATTCTCTATCCTCTGAAAATGGTGTTCTGAGCAGTTGGGAGTTTTTTTTCCAGTTGATGAATGGCTGATTTTGTTGCTAAAGCCAGCTCTTTGAAGTCAGTTGCTCCCTAGATAAGAATGGGAGCAACTAGGAACAATCCCAGATGACTCTGAGCTAACCATACTGTTTACCTGCGGAGAAAAACCTGGATGGTTGCAATTCACAGTAAGAATGGCCAGAGAGTCAGGAATTTTGTTCATGTAGGGGTAGTGCAATGGCCATAAATTTGAGTCATAAGTCCTTTAATTTCAGGCAGTCATAACTTTGAATGGTCGCTGTATCAATAGTCATAACTCGAGGACTATCTGTTTATGGAACAACTCAGATAAGGTTTTTAATTCTATGATGTTAAATGTTAAGCATATAGATCAGTGGTGAAATCCAATTTTTTTTACTACCGGTTCTGTGGGCATGGCATGGCTTGGTGGACGTGGCTTGGTGGCCGTGGCAGGGGAAGGATACTGCAAAATCGCCACTCTGGGGCCAGCCAGAGATGGAACTTGCCAGTTCTCCGAACTACTCAAAATTTCCACTATCGGTTCTTCAAACTGCTCAAAATTTCTGCTACCAGTTCTCCAGAAAACCTGCTGGATTTCACCACTGATTTACACTGCAGTGTAAATATAAATAGGGAGTATCTATTGAAAGAAGTTGTTCCTAAATTTAGATAAGGATGAAAATATGTATCAGAATTCATTTTGGTAGATGCTTCCTTTACAAGGAAGGAATGTGAAGCAATTGGATATATTTGGTCCTATCCATTCAAGCACAAATGTTGTTTCTGATTCTCTAAAATTGGGATTTGAAAAGCTTCCTCCAAGATTGAACCTTGTCTAATATGATATCCTTTGCATGTGTTGAGACTGTAAGAACCTGCAGAATCTGCACTGCTGGTAAATTGGCTGACATACCTGGAGAGGATGTGGTCAGGAACAATTCTTTTAAACCCTTAAGAAAGACCCCAGAGCTGCTAACTCACTTGAAATTCTTCTTTTTGATGCAAAGTGGTTTTCAGTAGGTTTTCCATCTGTTCTTTCTCAGATAATACAGATTCTTTCTCTTCTTTGATCCTGTTTGGAAACAGACATTAGAGATTATTATTACTTCTTTATTGCATTTATATTCTACCAAGAATAGTTCTCTGGATAATTCAGAGGATAAAAATTATACTGTAATCTCTATAGCATGCAAATGCAGTATTTATTGCTTAAGGTGAAACCTGTCAGATACACGTAACCAGAAACATTTCATGAATAGGCCCAGGTAGATACTTTACCCCCGATCACCCACATTACAAGAATCTTGTCAGACTGTCTGCCTTCTCTTGGGAAATGGCAGATATAGTCCTAAGAGTTTACTCAGGCTTTCCTCCCTCGAATTGATTCCAAGCTAGAATGTTCTTTTACTCCCCTAGAGGGGGCCTGTTTCCTTCATCTGGTGATTCTACCACATTATGCACTCCTCTCTAAACAACCCACCCCCCTTTTCTTTGCATGATGGGAACTGGACAATGGGGATAGCAATGACATAATATGTAAGAAGAGCTGTCCTCCTCCAAGTCCTAGGAATCCTTCCCATCGGGTGGTTCCCCCTGCAAAACATCTAAAGTATTAGAAGGGTCCTCCCACCCCTCCTTCCCTTAGAAAATGAAGATTCAAAGTTGAAGACTGAACCACTATCAGTCTCCTGCCTCTCCATAAATGGAACCCTTAAATAGTTAACTCCTTCACTCACTGGTTCTCCTCAGGCTCAAGGCTGAAGCTGGTACTGGGGAGCATGGAAGATCTTGGTGTGCTTGGAAAGCACTTGTGAAACTTTTATTAATTCTGGAGCATCCATGTACCTTGCATTTTCTCACAAGTAATCTGCTTCTGGGTAGCCCTTCTAGTGAATCAAACACTTAACAAGTCCAATACTTCCCTCACTTCGAATTCCCTTGGCCTTCAATGTTCATGGATAGAGTTGGTATGTAGAGGCTGCCAATGACTGCAAAGTGCCTCCTTCAACATCAACGAAGAATGAAAATAGGTGCACCTTGTTAGATGGTGGCAATTGCAAACAAAGGTCCATACGCTGACCTATCATAGGACCTTAAAAGGGCCCTCAAATTTTGCATGTAGCTTTTTTGAGGGTCTGGTATAAGTTACAAATGTAGTAGGAAGCTACACACTTCTCCCCTCTGCAATTACTTTTATGTTGTTGTTGTTGTATGTGTCTAAGGACCTCTTGTAAGATAGTTTGGATTAGTCTAGCTGCTCTTTCAACAGTGCCTGAGCAGTGCATTGCTCCTCTGGAAAATCCAGGCCCCAGGAATGCAACCCTAATATGAGATTGCAGATAAAACCCGTATTTCCCATAAGGCCTGGAATTGGATCATTGCAAATTGATGCATGGATAGAATTATTATATACAAACTTGGCTAATGGATTAAATGATGGACAATTGTGTTGGCTGTAGGTACAATAACACATCAAATACTATTGCAACATCTGGTTGTTAGTGAAAAGATCCACCACCACCAATATGGATATATAACCTGCATTGGTTATATATCCACAGACTTTAGAAAATCTGTTATAAAGTCATATGATACTGTATGCCAAGGCTGGTATGTGTGAGTGTTTTTAGGGCCTGTCTCTTTGGCACGCTTATCATAGTCTTTCATGTTTGGCGTCATCCTAGGCCACCAAAGTCTCTTAATGTTCTGTGCAGTGTCTTGAAGACTCTCCAGTGTCCAGCCATCTCAGTACCATTTGAAAGTTGCAATACTTAAAGGTACAGGCCTGAAGATCTGTCTTTATGCTGCAGATTTTCCATCTTTGACCGAAAACAAATAATGTCCTTTGACGAGTCCCCTAGAAGTCGTCCATCCAGGCCCGAATGTGTGCGTCTTGTTGGTGCTATGTCTTGATTCTGGTAAACAAATCCTGAACCTGTTATGCTGCCCCCAAATCCTTTCCTAGTACTTGCTGGTGCTAACTAAAGTTGCAAGACTGTAAAATCCTCACAGGGTTGGTGCTTATTGCAGTTGAAGATACTTGGCTTATGAAATAGGAGCGTTAGGCAACAAATATAGCACTGCCTGTACCTTAGTAAATCTGCAGACCATTGGTTGAAATCCTGTAGCCTAAGCAGTCCAATCGGTGGAGGGCAAAGGTGCATTTCTAAAGCTTCACAAGCAGCTTATTTTCCTGTAGCTTTCACAACATCTCCCTAACATGCTGCACAGGAGCCTCTGCATTCTCAGAGACAATAAAGATGTCATCCAAATAAATTATCGCAAATTTGTCATATCCAGGGAAACATTGGTTCATGAATCTAGAGAATACAACTAGCCAATCCAAAAAGTATAAACTGTACGTGGGTAATCCTCGAATTATAACCCCAATTAAGCTCCAAATTTCAGTTGACAAGCAAGGCAGTTGTTAAACTTTGCCCCATTTTTTGACCTTTTTTGCCACAGTGATTAAGCAAATCTCTGCATTGTAATGTAAATCATCTGGTCATTAAGTGAACCTGCCTTCCCACACTGATTCTGCTTGTGAGAAACCAGCTGAGAAAGTTAAAAATGACCACATTTTACCACATGTAAAAATGTCACGCGACCACAATACAGTGCAACTGTCATCAATACATGCCAGTTGCCAAGCGACTGAATTTTGATCATGCTGTAGTGATTATAAATGTGAAAAACAGTTATGTCACTTTTTTTAGTCCTGTTGTAACTTTGAACAGTCACTAAATGAATGGTTGTAAATCGAGGACTACCTATATTGAAACTTTCCATAACTTGGTATCAAAGACTGTCAAATAACATTCTTTGATTATAACAAGATTATACACATTCTGAAGATCCCAAGTGCTTGATAAATATGGGAGCTCTCTGTAATCTGCCCATCAAATCTGATAGCAGGAAACGATCCCTTATTATAACCTTGTTGAGATCCTTGTAATAGTGGACTGTGAGCATTGGAATGTCTCCCTTCAAGTTCGGAATACCTGCCTCTTGCTTCTTTGGAACAAAAAAAGTAGGTACTGAAGATAGTGATTTAGAAGGTCTTTTCTCTAAAGACCCTCTAAAATTTGAATACAAATGCATGTTTAAAAGTTCTTTCATTAATATTGGATATTATCTCTGGAATTTAAACTCCAGGTTTCAAATCAACATTACAGTCGTAATCCCTAGGCGGAGGTGGGGGTGGGGGTTGAAGCCTCATCTTCCTCCCAACTGTCTGCAAAGGTGGCATACATGGCTGGCTACTTTAGCCCCTCTGGCTCAGCCAGCAGGCCTGTGGAAAACTGCAGATTGAGCTTCCAGGCTGGAGAAGGAAATGATGGTGCCCTCCTCTCTCCATCTACTGTTGGGTTATGTAGCTTTAGCCATGGTGTCCCTAAGATGATCGGTGCTTGGTATGTTCTCCAATTGTTAACAACAATGGTACTGTAGATTGCATGATGGGACCCACTCTTAAAGGCTGCCTGTTATCATATCTATCTTCATAGGAGCAGGCAGGTCTACTGTAGGTATATGTAATTCTTCTATTGATTGTAAGTCTATGAAATTCGTGGTGTCCCCAGAATCATGCAAGGCTTCTTGCTTTTCCTCATGCCCAGAGTCAAAAGATAATCTGACAAAAACAATTAAGAGTATACTATGAGCTATAGTACTATACTACTTGAGCTCTCTTTACAAGATGAATGGTCCCCTCTGCGAGCTCTTGAGAGAGGGGACATTGTTGTTTCCTTAAATTGGTGACTGATGAGAGGAATGAGGCTCTTCTGCACCCTGATCAGTCATCCTGCTCTCATTCCATGGCCTATTGGCTGGGCAAGTTCTGATGATATGCCCTGATTTGCCACAGTAAAAGCAAGCTGCTGAATCCCGTCGTCTTTGCCTTTCCTTAGCAACTGCCATTCTTCTGCCTATTCCAAACTGCACCAGCTCTCCCACCTCTGGTTTGGTTGAGGCAGGCTCAAAGGGAGGAGGCCTCACAAAATTTGATCTAACCTTAGGCCTGCATGATTTCTCCAGTTTCCATTTCAATTCTTGCAAATGGGCGTCTATGAGCAAGCAAGTTTGGAATAACTCCTCTAGATCCTGTGGAACTCCTTGCCTCACCAGCTCAGTCTGAATATCAGCGTGCAAACCATGCTTGAACTGGTCAATCAAAGCTGACTCATTCCAGCCAGCATCTGCTGCCAATGATTTAAAATCAGCAATGTACAACTGCACTCTTCTGTTGCCCTGCTTAAGCTGCTGAATCTTCTGACTGGCTGAGACTGCTTGGATCAGATTCCCAAAATATGCTCTGAATTTCTCCATGAAGTTTTGATAGTTGTCCATTATCGGGTCGTTGCCTTCTATGATTGGTTGTGCCCACTTGGCTGCAGATTCCTTTAACAAACTCAATATAAAAGATACTTTTGCATGATCTGTTGGAAATTCTGCAGCTCGGGCTCCCATAAACAATTCACACTGACCAATGAAGTTTTTCATTTTGTTTGCTTCTCCTCCAAACTTCTCTGGCAAACCACTATGAGAGGAGACTGGTTGCTCTACCAGAGCTAGTGGGGCCACCGATGGCTGGACCAACTTCAATATCGTTGCTTGTAACTTCTTCATTTCTGCTTCCACTTCCTGTTGATGTAGGAGTAAGATGTTCACCATCTCTTGTGAAGACATAGCAGCTGCCTGCGATTCTGCTGCCATATCCGTTGTATTCTCCTTCCCAGAAGCGCAGAGTCTGGCAAGATTAATGTCAGGCGGAAGTAACCAGAACCATTCCATGAATAGGCCCAAGTTGATACTTTAGTGCTGATCACACATATTACAAACAACTCACCAGACCATCTGCCTTCCCTATAGATTTAACCTTAGATGTTTCCTCCCCTGAACCGATTCCAAGCTAGAATGTCTTTTTACTCCCTTAGAGCAGGGGTTCCCAATCAGGGGTGCTCACACCCCCTGGGGATGCGAGATGATGTTCCAGGGGGTGCGAAAACTTGGGTTTAGACATTTCAAAATTATAGTGTAATATGCATAATTATATGCATATAATTACTAATTCCACTGTAACCCAGAGAACATTTTTAACCACAATATAGATATTATCAGTGCTATTATTCTTATAGCTAAACTATATCTACTTTAAAAAAAAACCCAGCTTCATAAAAATATGGCCTAGTATTTGTTTACATGCATAATAGAATAAAATAATAAAACAATAAAAACAGAACCAAGGAATTCCGAATATCTTTTTTATAGCTGCATTGAAAAGAAAACAGGGATTTCATGAATCCAAGGCTTTCCTAGGCTTCAATCACTAAAGGTTTACTTAAGTGTTGTGATTGAACCAGCTATCTCTAGGAGGGAAAATAAATACTTACTGCATCAGGTCTTCCTTTATGGCACACTTCTCCTTTTCCAGATCTTTGTTTTGGGATTCAAGTTTCTCACATTTGTCCTCTAAAGTGTTCACTTTATCTTGAAGAGCCTGAAGTTGTAGAGCAGAAAAACAAAATCATCAAGATTTCCATTTATTATAATGTCACAGATAAGAAAAGAGTAATTGACATTTCTGTTTTACTTGTTTAACATATAGTTATGTTTTAACCTTGTCACCCTATTTTACTTTGAGCCAATCTATTAGCCATTCTACATTGAATATCAGAGGATTCCCTTTTCCCTTTGTTTTTGGATAATTTTGTTTTACTGTTTTTCAATAGCTTCCATTATTACAGCTAATTCTAAGAAAACCTAGTTCTAAATTCAGACAATTCTGAAGCAGCCATCAAAATATCCTGTTATGAAACTCCTTTATTTTGTTTATTTTATTTTTGTTTGAACATACAAAACCTCCTTCCCATCAATATAACCTTAGCAACTAGGATTCAATCAACTTTTTCTAACCTGTGCATAATTTGTCCTACCTTCCTACTTTTTAGACTGGCATTTTTAAAGGAACTGTGTAGTGTTACATGCTTCCTTTTTTAATAACCTGGATATTATATCAATACACATTGTCTATAGTAACTGACAGTGGTCCTTCCTCATTCTCCCCAATCCGGGTAGAATGTTTTCTTAGTACTATAGTTCACTAAAACTAGCATTTTGAATAGCACATAGCTATTCCTACCTTCCTCTAAGGCTGTGATGGCGAACCTATGGCACGCGTGCCACAGGTGGCACACAGAACCATATTGGTGGGCACGCAAGCTCAGCTCCAGACAGCTGATTTTTGGGCCTTCTGGGTCCACTGGAAGTCAGGAAACATGCTTTTTCCGGCCTCTGGAGGGCCTCTGGGGATGTGGGGAAGACCGTTTTCACCCTCCCCAGGCTCCTAGAAAGGCTCTGGAGCCTGGGAGAATGAAAAATGGGCGTACTAGGCCCACAGTGCCATTGGGTGCCAAAAGTGGGGGGAGTTTGGGGGGGTCATGCGCATATGCATGGGGGGACATAGAATTAAGGGTGTGGGCACACACACATATGACCCTCCCCGCACTCCCCCTTTTGGCACACGATGGCAAAAAGGTTAGCCATCACTGCTCTAAGGCAATTTCTGTGGAGACTGTAAACTCTACATCATTCTAGGAAGAAAACACTAGTTAAGTGTATTCAGTTTTCTTTTTTGCTGTTGTTGTGCTTTGCTATGTTTTGGAGATGGTTCCTACCTTAGCTGCCACAAGTTCGTCTTGTAAATGCACATTCTGCTCCTGGAGACTTGCTAGGTTCTTCTTCAGGTTCTGGTTTTCTTGAAGCAATGTTTCATTTTGCTGCTGTATTTTCTCCACTTCCCCCTGCAAACCAAAATCAAATTGCATGGTATTAATATGTTCTGGAGAGGTGTGCTAGATCCTTCGGAATGCAAATAGCTCTTTTGATCTACATGTTTATTATATATTGTTGGTAATGAGTTCTGAGTTTATTAAGTCTTTGGTTACATGCAGTGCTAATTGCATCAGCAGAAACAGTGCATTAAGGATGTTTTTGATCTCTCTAGTTTGGTCAAACCACCTTGGATTCATTTTTTGAAATGAAATTTTAGTTAGCCACCATGCTTGCCTATGCTACACTATTTTAGTAAGCATTATTTGCATATTTTATCATCTGTCACAGATGAAGCACTAGCTGTTTGAATTACTGGGACACAGACATTTTTTAGATAGAATAGTTCAATAGAATTTAGTTTTATGAATGGGGTGGACCACTTAATTTAAGGTAAGTCACCCAATATATAACAAACAGTGGAAACTGCTAAGACATCTCAGCAAAGTCTCTTTTTGTGTCCATTCTCTATAATAAGTAGCCACTACTGAGATCAATCTGGTAATACAAGATTTTTCTGAAAAAGGTAAGATTTAAAAAAAAACTGTTAAAAATATTCCATCAGTATCTGAACTCCTACTGTTGTGATAATAAAAGATGCTGATGATTCATTTTACTCATTTTAAATACTGCTTTTCCATCTTTGGTCTTAGAAATGGATTAAGGGAATATTTTAAAAAAGTGTATACATTAATGAGTGTTCAAAAAACTTTCCCGATGTCTAAATAAAGATTACATGGAAATACATACCCTGTTTTCCCCAAAATAAGACATCCCCTTATAATAAGCCCAATCAGGCTTTTGAGCACATTGCAATAAGGCCAAGCGCTTATTTCAGGGTTCAAAAAAATATAAGATAGGGTTTTATTTTCAGGGAAACACGGTACTAGCAAGAGTTTAACCAAAGATGACATGGAGATAATATGGACTAACCCTTTTCCCACTTCCCATGTCAGCATGTTGTGCCCTGATAAAGGTATGAGAATTCGCTGTACATCAATATACATTCTGTTCAATTCTGTCCCTACAATTATTTCATCAAATTGCTATAAATATTTAGTGTTAATTTTGATTATTTTTTAAAAATATTTTTTCTCTGTTGGATATTTCTATGTGAGTGCTTGATGGTTTAATAGCAATATTTGAATTTCAGTAGCACTGAGAGACAAAAGGAGTCTACCAGTTCTTTGCTACTCAAGCTGATCAGTCTATAGATAAGGTGGAAGAAGAACCTTTCTCTGTCAAAATATGTGTAAATATGGGTACATGCAGACCACTATACTCCAATTAATCAGCTACCCATTCCTATTGTATGGAATCTATTTTTTAAAAAATTGCTATAATGGAAACCAGATTGGGAAGGATTTTCTTTTTCCCAAAAGGGTGTTATATTAAAAAACATAGAATAAAGTCAAAAAGGCATTCATTTGATGGTGCAGATTACCGTATCTTAGGCAAACCATTATAAGAATGCAAATGTTATCAACTTGCTTTGGCTTTGAAATGCCTCCCTTAAGGCTTGAAACAACTGTTTCTACTGTGAAACTATTTAAAATGGATTGAGAATGTTTCAATTCCCAATGAAACACTTCCAAAATACTGTTTTATGCTTAGAGCCACACATTTTGAAGACCATAACATCCTAACCCATTCTGCACAAGCCTTTATTCAGTTTAGGACTTAAGAAAGGGAACTAACCTCTTTAGTAACTACCAGCATGTCATCCTTAGGCTCAGTACGGAATTGAAAGGGGATACTGGCCCCATGGATTTGCCCATCTTGATCAACATAGCAAAACTGATAATACTCATCATCCTTTGGCAGATAGTAGGCTGAAAGAACAAAAAGCCACATTCCATGTTTAGAGTCTCAATCACTCAGAAGAAATACAAAAGTTAGCTATCTAACACTTAGTTATAGTTTACCTTTCAGAGATAATCTGCTGGATGCCAAACAGAAGGAAGGCTGACAGCTTTTAAAATTTCTCTCTTCCCCTCAGTAGCAAAGCTGACAGTTCTAGGTAGATATCTGTCTGGGTCTTTTGCACAAGGATTTTGAAATCATACCCAGATTAAGCCTAAGCACTTAAAATAAAATTAAGCCTAGTGCATCCACCCTTCTTTTCTTCCTTTTTTATGACTTCAGTCTCATATTCTTTATTCTGACATCAACATCTCTCTCATATCTCAGGCTCATGTCTCACCATAGTCATAACTGAGGTGGGGAACAAATGATATCACCAGATTTCCCAGGATACAATTTACTGCTGAACTACACTCACTTCTCAACAAACAGCTTTCTTTTTTGTTTCCAGTGGTAAAAATTACCAAGCCAAGAAGTACCAGCCATATAGCAGTGTATACCAAGTAATTCTATTAGCACTGTGCGAAATCACACTTTTTATCTCCTAAGGAAGAAGGGAAAGATGACAGACACTTATAGGATTTGGAGGATGATTTAGCAATACTATCAGCAACTAACTCTCACTCTGGCCAGATAATAAAAACAATTCATAAAATTAATAAACCCAGTAATTGGTTTCACAGGTTCTTTTTAAGGGATTGTTAGTGAATAAATCCTAGATTTCAATCAACCCATTTTGGATGCCACAGTGGCACTATATGCAAGGTTGGTTTTCAGCAGATAACAGTGTGATGATTACTGTATCACAGTGATGGCTAACCTTTTCAGCACTGAGTGCCCAAAGTGTGCATGTACGTGTGTGCACGCACGCACACCCATAATGCAATACGTGTGTGCACCCCATGCATATGCCTGCGACCCTCTGCAGGCACATGCAACCACCCCACATATGCATACGACCACCCCATGTGTGCCCAGTGCATGCACGCATGTCTCCTGTATGCTGCCTGCCCCCCATGCATGCGCGGCAGAGATCCGAAAACCAGCTGGCTGGCGGGATGCATGCATGCGCAGCAGAGCTAAACTGGGACGACGGCTTGTGTGCCCTCAGAGAGGGCTCTGCGTGCCATAGATTCGCCATCACAGCTGTAGCAGGTTTCCTGTTGCAAAAATGCACCATCAATTCTCTTCTCATCACTGACCTTTAAAAAGCACTTGCTGTTGTTCATCATAGCTGTTCTCAGAATCACTGAACTCAGGAGCCCACATGAATGTGTAGTATTCACGAGTTGTCTTCCATCCCACCTGTAAGGCAACAACAAAACACATATGAAGGCTTCTGATTCCTGCTCCGACTGGGTTCTTCCATACATGCTGGAACTGCTAAAGTCTATATTAACTATGGATCTGGGAAACTGCAATCCAAGCACATCTTCAAGATGTCAAGATGAAGACTGTTCAAATGTTTTAGAGATGCTGTGGTGTATTTGTTTTGCATCCTCTTAACGCCATCAAATAAATAGCTATTGAGTGAAAAGATCATAGACTGTATTCAGACAGAGCAATCTTATGTGAAATTTATGTTGGAAGAAGGAAGGAGTAATTATCCATGTTGGCCCTGTTGGTTTGCCTCAACCAAGGAAAGAAGGTGAGGGAAAGCCTTCATCTTTCAAATTATAATGAATAGGAAGGCATTACCTACACGAGTAAAAGGTCTAGAATCAAGTCCCAAGAGTTTTGAAGACAGACAGGAAAATTGTAAGGCTTTCAGAGAGCGAACTTAGTCCTAACACATCTTGTCCATCTCTTTGGAACAAAACTGGGAAACACTTGACTTGGCAAAATGTTTAATCTGCATTTCAAGGAACCTGTGGTGGCATAACCTATCGTTCTGCTGAAATACCATTTTCCATGAAGGACTTCAGAGAACTTTCTTGTTTTGAACTCTGGATTACTTTAGGAATTCTCTCTCAAAGTGGTTTATTAATAGTACCCATTCGCAATTTTGGGGAAAGTAATATTCAAGGAAAAGTAAAACTCAACTGAGTTTTGGGGGAAGAACCATAAGAGATAAATGTTGGCTTGGTACCAATTGGCAGAATAAACAGCTGAAAATGGCACAAGCACTGCTTACATGCTAAAAAGACATATAATTTATTAACAAAAACTGAAAGTTGAATGGAAAAAATAGCTTCCTTCCTGTATTATTTCTTCTTGACCTCAAGATATGGATCTCAGATAAGCCTAAAAACTACCAAATCTCAATTTTCATAAAAACCTGACTTCTTTTCTCCTGATGTCTTTATCAAAAGAGATCAACTATCCTACATCAGTTCCAATTGCTGTGTTTTACAATTCAAATATCAATGATTTTTGCAAATCAAACTTACTTTAAATATGCCCACCCAATCCTTCTTGCTAGGTATGAAGTACTGGGAAATGTTATAATAGCAAGTTACATCTGTTCCAGGAACATAGAATTTCTTTATGTTTGCAAAGATGACCTGAGAGAAATGGCAGCTTTCTAACATGATAGCAGAAGTAGGTGGTTCCTCCAAATTTTTACGTGCATGAAATATATCCTCCATACTGAAGTCCTGTAAAGAAAAGAGCCAAATATAGAAAGAGAGAGAAAGGGGGGGGGAGGGGGAAGGGAGGCAAGATGATTAAAATGTTCTCATTAATCTTGACCTCATGATGTGAAGTTGTACAACTCTTTCTTGGATTATTTGAACTTCTTAAATTTCTATTATGGGCAATTATTATTCAAAAGATCAAGACACTATATTCCATATTAAGATGAATCCAAACTTTAAAGATTTAGCAACCTGTGCTGTCCATGTAACGATGTTTTTACTAACATTTTAAAGTGTTAAGAAATTAGTGGCGTTACCTAAAATGGGCTCCCAAGTTTTCTGGCCATCAAAATTATCTCAGGATAATGGGCATGTAAATGATTTCCTATGTAAATATGATAGGGTGGTAGCAACTTCTATTAGGGAGCAGTGTTAAGGGCAACATCAAAGTGGAGGCAGCAGATTTGATTCACAGGACATACTAAAATAAAATAAACTTGCATAGGAGAACAGCCCAGTAAACTATGCCCCCATTGTTCCAAAACTAACAGCAAACTCATTTTTAAAAACAATACTCCTTCTGCAATCAGAATGATATGGTCAAACCCAAACAGTAGATCAACATCCCCAGGCTCCTTGCTTTTCCCTTGAAAACAGATAAAGTTCCATAGGATGCCAGTCCTGGAGCTCTTGCAACTGGGCAATTGTTCAAGGCTAATTCCCCAACTGGTTCTTCTGCCCTGCCTGGCTGGAGACTTCGCAACAGATGCCAGCCAAATGGACAAGAGAGAAATAACAGCAATTCTCAGAAATACAGATTGTCAACAGATACAGAATGAGTTCTCTGAGGTTGGAATGGGAAACACAAGGGGGAGTAATGAAATAAAATTGAATGCCTCCAGTGTTTTGGATCAAATCCCAACAGCCCTGTCCAGCACAACGAGTGGCAAGGGATAGATGTAGTAATTCTGTACTGCTTATCACACAAAATATTATCAGGGAAGAAAACATGGCTGAATGGAACAAGTACACCTATTTAGTGTTTGGCACTGCAACATACATTTTATAACCATAAAGTGAAAACATTGAATTTCTCAAACCTCCTTTCCCAGAAACACTCTGTTTATACTCCCCTACCCACTTTCCTGTCTTTATATAGCTGACTAGTAATTAGTGCAGCCTTCAACTATCTTTTGGGGAGATGTCTTTTCCTGCTTTCCTTATCTCCAGCATATGTGATAGGACTCACTATAGTCTTACTTGCAAATAATTAGGATATCATAAAAGTAAATAACAATGATGAAAAAGAAAACTAAAAAATTCTATAATGCCAACTCTTCACCTTGTAGCCCTTAAAGAATGTGATTAGAGAAATTAGCCCCTCTTCTTTAGGAAAAGTATAAAAGTCATAAATCTACCATTTAAAAATATTATTTTTAAGAAAAAAACCTAAAACTTTCTTTATAAGTTTACACAATTAAATGCAAAACCCACCTAAATTAATAGGAAATGAAAATAAATAGGAAATTATTTCATTTGCCTAAAATTCATCTCTGGTTTTTTTTATTACTATTTTATTTAAATCTGAAATGTATCTCTAATCAATTTATAATTCAGTTGATTTTCACCAACAGTAACATGGATAACAGTGATTCCTACTTTGTCATATTGTTAGCCCTTTCATTAAATTGTACACTTTTACTTTCTTGCATATAGTTATCAACTCCACAAAACCAGACCACCTTCATTCAGATCTGTTTTCTAGGTTTCTTCTTCCTTAGTTTGGCAGACTTTTTTTCATTATATTTTTGCTCTTTTATCATTTCCCCCCCTTACGGTCCAAGATGCAATTTTCTTGGAGATATTAGATGGGCCTCTAAATATTGATCTCTGATGCATATAATGGCTTGAATTGATTAAAACTTTAAAACTTTCACGAATCACTTTTTCAGTAAAATAAAAATAAAATACCTGTTGGTGCATCTGTGCCATATCTGTAACAATAAGGGTTTGAGCACATTTTGAACAATATGTCACAAACACAAGCATTGTCCAGTTTACCCCCAAGCACTACTCTCTGCAAACTAGGCTGTCTGGAGATTACGTTGCAAGCCAACCTATTATTACTTGCATTACTAGATGTTTTTAACAAGAGATTGAACAGCCATTTGTCTGAAATAGTTTAGAGTCCCCAGCTTGAGCAGGGGATTGGATTAGAAGACCTTCAAGGTTTCTATTCTATTCTATTCTATTCTATTCTATTCTATTCTATTCTATTCTGAACAAGGTTCCAAATGCATACTGACACATTCAAAGTGCAGTAGTTATACATCTAAAATGTGTTGGTCTTGAGACTGCCATTTGGGAGGAGTTCGACCCTGTTGCTCCCGAGGACATGGACAGGATACTGGGGTGGCTGAACGCGACCACATGTTTATTGGACCCGTGTCCCTCCTGGTTGGTGCTGGCCTCCCGGGAGGTTATGCGAGGCTGGCTCCAGGGTATTATCAACGCTTCCTTGAGCGAGGGTGTCTTGCCATCTGCCTTGAAAGAGGCGGTGGTGAGGCCCCTCCTCAAGAAGCCTGCTCTGGATCCGGCTGTTTTGGCTAACTATCGTCCGGTCTCCAACCTTCCCTTCTTGGCGAAGGTTTATTTTTATTTTATTTTTATTTTATATTGGATTTCTATACCGCCCTTCTCCCTAAGGACTCAGGGCGGTGTACAGCCAGATTAAAAAAACATGCAGAACAAATATTAAAAACAATTAAAAGATATATAAATTTGGCCCAATTAAAACTCATTTACCAATTAAAAACGTTTAAAACATTTAAAAACAGTTAAAAATTTCATCTTAAGCCAGCCCGGCTTGTTTAAATAAGTGGGTTTTAAGGGCGCGACGGAAGGCACTGAGGTCTTGGATTCTCCTTATCTCTGGGGGGAGCTGATTCCAGAGGGTAGGTGCCCCCACAGAGAAGGCCCTCCCCCTGGGGGTCACCAGCCTGCATTGTTTGGCTGATGGCACCCCGAGGAGGCCCTCTCTGTGGGAGCGCACGGGTCGCTGGGAGGTCGTCGGTAGCAGCAGGCGGTCTCGGAGATAGCTAGGCCCTATGCCATGGAGCGCTTTAAAGGTGATAACCAACAACCAACAGGTTGTTGAGAGTGTGGTGGCGCAACAGCTTCCTGGGTACCTGGATGAAGCTGTCTATCTGGATCCGCTCCAGTCCGGCTTCAGGCCTGGGCACAGCACGGAAACGGCATTGGTCGCGTTGGTGGATGATCTCTGGAGGGCTCGGGATAGGGGTTGTTCCTCTGTCCTGGTCCTGTTAGATCTCTCAGCGGCTTTTGATACCATCGACCATGGTATCCTGCTGCGCCGGTTGGAGGGGTTGGGAGTGGGGGGCACTCTTTTGCGGTGGTTCTCCTCCTATCTCTCCGACCGGTCGCAGTCGGTGTTGGCAGGGGGGCAGAGGTCGACCCCGAGGCGCCTTGTTTGTGGGGTGCCTCAGGGGTCGGTCCTCTCGCCCCTTCTGTTCAACATTTATGTGAAGCCGCTGGGTGAGATCATCCGTGGCTTTGGGGTGGAGTTCCATCAGTACGCTGATGATACGCAGCTGTACATCTCCACCCCAGGCCATCCCAACGATGCCCTTGAAGTGATGTCCCAGTGCTTGGAGGCCGTGCGGATCTGGATGGGGAGTAACAGGCTCCGACTCAACCCTTCCAAGACCGAGTGGCTGTGGCTTCCGGCATCCCGATATAGCCAGCTGGTGCCATCGCTGGCTATTGGGGGAGAGTTATTGGCCCCCACGGATAGGGCTCGCAACTTGGGCATCCTCCTGGATGCATGGCTGTCTTTAGAAGAGCATATGACGGCCGTGGCCAGGGGGGCTTTTTATCAGGTCCGCCTGAGTCGCCAGTTGCGTCCCTTTCTGGATCGGGATTCCTTACGCACAGTCACTCAGGCACTCGTCACTTCCTGCCTGGACTACTGCAATGCTCTCTACATGGGGCTCCCCTTGAGGAATACCCGGAGGCTCCAACTGGTGCAGAATGCGGACGTGCGGGGGATTATGGGAGCGAGGGGTCGCTCCCATGTGACGCCTCTCCTGCGTGAGCTGCATTGGCTTCCAGTGGTCTTCCGGGTGCGCTTCAAGGTGTTGGTTACCACCTTTAAAGCGCTCCATGGCATAGGACCTGGGTATTTGCGGGACCGCCTTCTGCCGCCGATAGCCTCCCACCAACCAGTACGCTCCCACAGAGAGGGACTCCTCAGGGTGCCGTTGGCCAGGCAATGTCGGCTGGCGACCCCCAGGGGGAGGGCCTTCTCTGTGGCAGCTCCCGCCCTCTGGAACGATTTGCCCCCGGAGATAAGAAGGATATCGGATCTCCGGGTCTTTCGCCGTGCCCTGAAAACTCTTCTTTTCCAGCAAGCAGGGCTGGCGTGAACCCCGCCCCCTTTTTTTTAGTTTTTAATTGTTTTTAATTGTTTAGTTTTAATCTGTTAATGGGTTTTAATTCGCATTGTTTTAATTCAGGCCAAAGTATATAATTCTTTTAATTAATTTTAAATTTTGTATTGTTATGTATTTTAGTTCTGGCTGTGCACCGCCCTGAGTCCACTAGGAGAAGGGCGGTATATAAATTGAATAAATAAATAAATAAATAAATAAATAAATAAATAAATAAAATGTTATAACCTACTTCAATAGATTTCAGGGTGAACTAAAAGATGAAAGCAATCCAAACAAACCAAAAGTAATAAAAATGTAACTCCGTGAATGCAGTGGGCTGTGCAATCCAAAATAAAGAATGGTTAAAGTCAGGCCTACCAAAGCTAGAAAGAATGCCTAGTTTTCACTTGGCATAATGAGAGTCAGGCATATTGGCTTGTGAATTACTTGGCCTATTGGTTTGCAAACAAATCATCAGGAGCTTTTGTAAATCATGAATTGGCTGCTCCATTTTTATTTATTTGTCTGTGCCTTTGCTAGACATAGTTACTAGCAGTTAACTGATGTCTT